TGCCCCTTTCTTTTCTTTTCTTTTTTTAAAACATTTTATTTATTCATTTTTAGAGAGAGGGGAAGGGAGGGAGGGAGAAAGAAAGGGAGAGAAATATCAGTGTGTGGTTGCCTCTTGCGCACCCTCAACTGGGGACCTGGCCTGCAACCCAGCCATGTGCCCTGTCTGGGAATCAAACCCTGCAACCCTTTGGTTCTCAGGCCGGTGCTCCATCCACTGAGCCGCACCAGCCAGGGCCCAATGGCCCTTTCTTTCATTTTCTCCCTTTGGTGTGTCCCCTCACCTCCTTGCGTCTCAGTTTCCTTCCTTGTTAAATATCAAGGACACATTCGATACTTGCTGGGAAAAGCCAGAAGTGAGTTGAATCTGAATTTAGTGATCACCTGCTTACTAATCTGGGCCAGATGGACTTTTCAGGGCAAACAGGTCAGAAGACTCAGTTCTAGTCATTAATTTAGTTAGCCTGCTTACTTTTTTTTCCCCTTAAGAAACATACTTTTCTATGCAACAAATCCATGATCACTGTTAAAAATATCTACAATGTGAATAAACTGAAAAACAACCACCCCCGCAAAACCCACAATATAAATTTATTGAAAATTACACCACCTGGAAATAATCACTGTCAACAATTGTGATTGTTCTTCAGGCTCTTTTTTCCCTCCCTATATAAATGTCTTATATATTTTTACACACATTATATAAAAGAACTGGTAACATATATATCTTTTTTTGGTCACTCAGCAATATATTCACACCTTTCCATGTCGATGTATATACACATAATATCTTTAAGTTGGAAAAAGCACACAAGTTAAAACACTTAAGTGAATATGCCCGGCTGCCACCGGTACCAGTTTTCCATTGCGGCAGTTGCAGTGGTTGAGCTATGATAGAGCTGCTGCCTCTGGAGCGGTGAGGGAAGTGCTCCAGGAAAAGACAGGAATGGTCCTAAGGCCCACTCCCTCCCATGCTCCGCATAGGGGTCCTGCGTGTTGGTAGTGACTGAAGATTGAGATTCAGCCACCCTCTGACTTCCAACCATGACCATCACCACCAACCACCATTTCTTGAGCAACATCTCTGTTGCCAGGCACTGTTCTGGACATTGAGGGGAATTCAAAAGAGATAAAAGGCACAGTTCCATCCCTCAAGCAGCTTGTAATTTGATTTGGGAGCTGACACCCACTCAAATGATGCAGCATGAGAACAGTGACAAGCAGCATTTCACTAGAATGGGTGCTAGGAAGAAAGCTCAGATGTTTGTCTGTGTCAGACCCACTGGTGACTTCGCTCGTGAAATGTTCAGATACAGAAATGACAGCAAAACCACTTAAAAGAAGAGAGAGAGGAGTTGTCAATAACCCGCAGACAGATTGGTCGCTCCAGCTGGATGGAGTTCTCCTTGACATCTCCTAAGACTTGGTTTTAGGGGACAGTTGCAAAAGGATGTGGATCCTCAGGCCCTCCTTGGCTATAATGTTAATTTTATTTATGCTTTACTTAAGGACCTGTGGAACCCCTCGTGGAGGAAGAGGTGCAAGTATTACATGGCGAATAAAATAAAATATAACCACATTTACTAAAAGAAATTTTTTTTTACTGAGCGAAGTCATAGAGACAGAGAGTAAGAGGGTGGGTGCACTTGCCCTCCCAGGAGCACGCAAACCACGCCTTTCTTCCCTCTCAGGCAGGCATCTCCAGTCTCTAGGGGTCCTAACGAGACCTGCAGCCAGGGGAGCAATGGGCAGTGGCAGCGGGTCCTGGCCAACCCCCTGATCCTGTCTCCAAGGCCTCCTTTTCTCTGACTCTCCAGTGAGCTCACTGCTGTCCTGCCTTGGTGCACTTCTTCCCCATAATGTTTCTAGAGAGCCAAAGCAGCCCCACCTATTCTCTCTCCTGTTGCTTCTTCTATCCTAAGCCCTTCCTTGTTCCATTGTTTCCAGCTTGATAAATGTACTCTCCCAAAAAAGAAAAGAAAAAAAAAAAATCAAGACCTGGCTGATGTGGTTCAGTGGATTGAGTGCTGGTCTGCAAATTGAAAGGTTGCTGTTCGATTCCTGGTCAGGGCACATGCCTGGGTTGCCGGCCAAGTCCCCGTTTGGGGGTATGCGAGAAGCAACTAACCAGTGTTTCTCTGGCACATCGATATCTCTATCTCTCTTTTTCTCCCTCCTTTCCCCTCTCTCTAAAAATAAATACAAATAAAATCTTGGAAGAAAAAGTAGGGTAGTGGTTGCCAGGGGCTGGGGGAGGGGAATGGGGAGTTAGTGTGTGATGGGGACAGAATTTCAGTTCAGGAAGATGAGCAAAGCTCTGGAGATGGGTGGTGGTGAGTGTCCTTAATATAACTGCACTAAATACTTAAAAATGCTTACAATGGTAAATTTATGTTTTGTGTATTCTACCATAATTAAAAAAAATAAATATAATAAAACTAAAAAAAGTGTAAACAATTCAGAGTTCTTTTAAATGAAAATGAAGATTCTCACCCTACTCTTTATACTCAATATGTGGGCTGTTGAAGAGCTAGCCAATATTTTAAAAATAGAACACAGTGCCCTGGCCAGGGGGCTCAGTTGGTTGGAGTGTTGTCCTGTACACCAAAAGGCTTCAGGTTTGATCCCTGGTCAGCACATATGGGAGGCAACCGATTAAAAAAAAGAGAGAGAGAGAACAACAACAATAATGAAGTTCCTGCATTTTGAGCTAAGCCATTGACACACAGTGTCTTCTCTTAGTTCTCATGAAAGTCCTCCACAGTAAACAGAGCTGGAAAGTGATTAACTCGTTGGTTTCCATGCCAGGGACTGAACTCTAAACAGTTGAGTCTGCTGCTTGTTTTATAAGATAGTTTTATTTAAAAAAAATAATGTATCAGCGACAGTAAAGGAAACAGACACTCCTTATCCCCCATTCAGCCTTCTTTTTACTTCTCTGCGTTCTTCTACCAGGGGTGTCCAACCTTTTGGTGTCTCTGGGCCACACTGAAAGAAGAGTTGTCTTGGGCCACACATTAAATACATTGCGACATTTAATCACAAAAAGATCTCATAATATTTTAAGTAAATTTACGATTTTGGGCTGCATGTGGCCCGTGGGCTGCAGGCTGGACACCCCTGCATCTAGCCTTTTTCTACAGGTCCGCACCCTGTTTTCCTGCTTTCCATCTACAGAGGCTAGTGGGGCCTGAGGGTGGTGGCAATAACCTTGGTATTTGAGCAGTTCTGCCCTAACCAGATGGGAAGAGACAGTGAAACCAGCCCTAGGTTTGAATCTCATCAGCTGTTTGATTCAGGGAGAAATCATTTTGCCTCTGGGAGCCTCAGTGTGCTAAAAAAAAAATAAAAATAAAAAAAAAATGCAGATTATTGTTAACCACCAGAGATTGTCCTGAAAGTCAAATAAATCTTCTCGGTGCTATTCTAGTGCAGTGCCATGCATTTAGGCACCATTACTGTTGTTCTAGTCCCAAATAAGGTGCAACTTGCTTCCATTACACCTTGTTTTCAGGGAAGCCAGTTCCTGAAATCAGTTCCTGAAGCTAGTCCCAAAGCTTGTGTTTGAAAAGCTTGGCTCTATGGTAGAGATCAGTTTTGTTTAGAGAGAGACAGTTTACCTGTTGGAATAAATGCTGCTGGGGACTCAAAGCCTGGTGGAGGCGGTTTGTCCAGCCCCGCCTGGTGAAGCATGTGTGAGAGTTAGCAAGTTGGAAGCCTTCCCTGGGACTGTAGTGCCCCCATTTTGGTGGCTCTCATATATGGATCTACCCCAAACCATCAGAGAGTGAAGGGCCTTGAATGCAGGGCTGCAGAATTCGGATTTGATGTGGGAGGCAATGGGGAGATAGGAAGAGTCAGGTGAAGAGTGTGTTCTTTATCTGGATGATGGGGTCATAAAGGCTTTAAGCAGGGAAGTGAGGAGGCCAGGTTTGTGTTCTAGTTCGGTGCAGCCTGGGAGGACCTGAAGGCCTCCGAGCTGGAGGCCGTGGCTAGCGGGGGGAGAGGGCACAGTGGTGGAGGAGGTTGCTTTCACACAGAGAAGCTGGGTGGAAGCCAGTGGAGGTATACTTTTGCAGTACCTTGGGGTCTCCCAAATCGATGCAAAAAGGAAGTAATTGCTCTCCAGAGGCAGGTGACCTCCATCTAGGCTCCTTTGGCCAGCCCTGCCTGTCCAGGCTGTGTGATCTTGGGGAAGCCACTTCACCTGCTCAGGCCTCAGTTTTCTCATCTCTAACAGGGATGAAATACAAAATCCTGGTGTGGACCCGATGTATGCAAAGCTGGGTCTGGGTGTGGCACAGTTGGTACTCAGTTGACGTAGCTGCTATTTTCAGGGTTCCCATGTATAAAACAGGGAAGGATGCATATGTTTCCACTGCTTATAGAAGGGGAAGCTGTAGGACTGGCCAGAACTTTTATATTTACGGTCCCAATTAGAGACTTAGCAGGATGGAAATCGTTTTTTCACATGATTTTTTATTGTATTTTTTTATTACCATTTATCCCCCCCCATGGCCTCTTCCACCTCCACCCACCCCCTCAGTCCTGCAGTCACCACAGAGTTGTCCGTGTCCATGCAGCATGGGTGTCCTTATCTCCCCGTGTGTTCAGGGGAATGTATAGTTTACAGAGCCCTTTCATGTGTGTCTTCCCATGTATTCCTCCCAACAGTCTGTGAGATAGGCAAGCAGATATTAGCACTATCTCCATTTTATAGGTAAGAAAACAGGCTCTGGGAAGGAATTGACTTGTCTAAGGTCACACAGCTAGTAGGAGGAGAAGGCAGGTATTCGGACTCAGAATGTCAGAACTGGACCAGAACAGGAGATTGTCATGGCCAACTACCACGTTTTGCAGATGGAGAGGCCAAGGCTCAAAGAGGGAAAGAACTCGCTGGGCACACTGAATTTGAGGCAGAGCTGGGACTTGACCAGCCTCTGGATGGCTATTCCACATCACCGAATGATCCTAACTTGCTTCGATTGCACCTTGTTTCAGGGAAGCCGGTTCCTGAAATCAAGTCTTCTGTCCCAGACTTCCCGGGTGCTGTGAAGCCAGGAGGGCCCTGGGCAGCTTCTGTAAGAAACGCCAAGGATGAACAGCAAAAGGGGCAGCCTATCTTTCCAGGCCCAGGTATTTTTAATTTAATTTAATTTTTTTATTTAAAGAAAATGTATTTAAGGAAATAATTTCTCTATAAGGACATTCAGCTCAGTATATAATAGCAAAAAATTAGAAACAACAGTGGTGATGGTAAAATTAATGACAGAAAGTCATTACAATAAAAATGTTAGCATAGTATAATACTGTTAATGTATTTTTAACATAACAATACTGTTAACAATGATTTGGGTGTATGTACATACATGGAAACACACTTATGATATATTAAGTGAGAAAAGCCAGATAATAAAAGAATATATACCATTTTTAACCACTTTTATAGAAGGAAAGAAATAACTCAGTAAATGAGGGCTTTCTGTGTGCCAGACACGGTTCTAAGCACTTCAAAGATGTTGACTTGTTTAATCTTCGTTAGCTGTGAGTTAGGTATTGTGATTATCCCCATTTCTCAGATGAGAAAACCGAAGCCCTCAGTGCAAGCTGGCCCTGCATGCCGACTCCTGGCTAGGAGCCTCGTGACCGCTCTGTCTGCCCTCCACAGGCCCAAGGTCTGTCCAGGGCCGGGCCCTCACAGCCATGCAGGGGAGTGCTGCTGGCCTTGCCACGTTCCTCCTCTTTGCAATCACAGATCTTTTGCATTGTTCTATGGCACCTGAAGCATCAAGAAGGAAAATAATTTGCTCAAAGTCACCTGAGTAGGAAGTAGCATCTGAGCAGTGTCATTTGAATACTTATGTCCCTAACCTCTGCGCACATTGCTACCCCAGAGCCTATCAGACTCCTTCAGATTATTCTCCATTCCCTTGTACCCTGGAAAGGACTCAGGGCCATTTTGCCAAATCATGGAAGGACTCAGCCAGTGTGATGACTTCCCCAAAGGGAGTTGCTATTCGTGCCCACATTTCTATTCTCATGACCTTTCCCCTGGAGCCCAGCCTCTCTTCTGCTCTCCTGCAGCCTCCCGAGTGGTGAGCCAAAGATCGCAAATCCATGAACCCTCAGCTCATCAATGTGGTTCCCAAAGCTGAGGCCAGCATGGGCTGAGAGGAACATGCATGGGCTTTGACATTAGACAGACCCACATTTGAATTCCATCTTTGCCACTTTCTAGCAGAAGTATTTAGCCTTTCTGTGCCTCAGTTTTGTCATCTATAAAATGGGCACAATAATAGAACTTAAAATATCATGTTGTGGTAAGAAATCATACACTATAGCGTTGTCACCATATAAATGCTCATTAAATGTTAGCTGATCCCTGGCTGGTGTGGCTTAGTTGGTTGGAGCATCATCCCATACACCAGAAGGCCGGGGGTTTGATTCATGGTCAGGGCACCTTCCTAGGTTGCAGGTTTGATCCTCGATTGGGGCACCTACAGGAGGCAGCCAATCCATGTTTTGCACATCAGTGTTTCTCTCTCTGTCTCTCTAAAATCAATAAACATATTTAAAAAATAAATGTTAGCTGATGTTAGGAACATTCTAGACACCCCAAAAATGTCAAGTTTGGAAAATTAATTCCAGACCAAGGAGTCTGAATTATTTCCTGTAAATAAAGAAAAAAAAAGTGTAGAACTTTGATAAGCAATTAAAGATAAAGGGAAGCCCTTACTGGTGTGGCTCAGTGGATTGGGCATTGCCCTGCAAACCAAAAGGTCGTTGGTCTGATTCCTGATCAGGCACATGCTTGGGTTACAGGTTTGGCCCCTGGTTGGGGTGCATACAAGATGCAGCCTATCCATGTTTCTCTCTCGTGTCGATGTATCGCTTCCTCTTTCTCCCTCCCTTCCCCTTTCTCTACAAATAAATAAATAAAATATAAAGAAAAAAACCACTAAGATAAGGGGAAATAGTCTTAAAGCAAATTTGATACTGGTTGATCACCAATGGGGAACAGTAATAAAAGAGGGAAATTCTAGGGGAGTGCTTATCAGGATTGAGGAGGTTACAGGTGTAGCAACTTGTTCGCTGTTCCTTATCTAGGTGACCGCAAAAACAAGGGTCATAAGTTTCTGCCAGCCTTTGCACCATTCAATTTCTTGAGTGGCCCTTGGAAGCACTTGTGCCCTGGCAGGTCAAGATGGTAAATACAATCTGCAGACAGAGACAGGAAATTGATTGTGTATCTTTGCCCAAACTGAAAATAAGTGAGTAATCATTCATTTCCTCAAATAACACAAAGGTTGTCTTTTCTTGGGAAAACCCCAGGCTTCCTTGGAGCCCCAAAATTCAAGCTGATTATATGGTAGGAATGGAGAATGCGGAGGCAGTGGCGGCGGGGGCTGGAGAAGGCACAGCAGGCGGGGACAGTGTCAGTGTGCAGGGGACAGTGAGCCGGGGCTTCTGGCCAGTGCCTCCTGAACCACACTGACAACCAGGGAGGTGGGGAGCCCCTGTTGCCCTCTTGATAGCTGGGGAGGGATGCATAACCTGCCGGAGCTTCCTGGCTGAATGAGTGGTAGGGCCAGGATTCAACTCAGGTGGTTTGCATATCTTTTTATTTTAAGAATATATGTATTTTAAAATTTATTGATTTTAGAGAGAGAGCGAAAGGGGGAGAGAAACATCTCTTTTTTAATTTTTAAAGTATATTTTACTGATTATGCTATTACACTTGTTCCATTTTTTTCCTCCTGTTTATCCCCCTCTGCCCGGCACTCTCCCTTGCCCCAGCATCCCCCGCCTTAGTTCATGTCCATGGGTTGTACCTGTAAGTTCTTTGGCTTCTTCATTTCCTATACTACTCTTATCCTCCCCCTGACTATTTTGTACCTACCATTTATGCATCTTATTCCCTGTAGCTTTTCCCCCTTCTCCCACCGCCCCCTCCCCACTGATGACCCTCCATGTGCTCCCCATTTCTGTGATACTGTTCCTATTCTAACAGACCTCAGTGATCCCCCCAACCCAAGAGACCTGGGACAGCCCCCAGAGTGAAGCCTAGGCATCAAGTCAGACCAGAAAATCCTGGCTGTGTGAGGCCAGCACTGACCTTGGAGTCACAGGGAAAAGGAATAGGACAGGAGACCATGTGTGCAGCTCTGTGGCCAGCACTGGGTCAGGGAGGGGGATGGGGCAGCATTTGAGGGAAGAAGCAGGAGGGAGATCGAGTTGGCCTGGAGCACCTGTTCCCAGAAGGTGGAGCCTGTATCCCCAGAAGGTGGTACATGAGAACATGGGCATTAGGGGGAGGAAAAAAATATATATATAGAACATGCATAAAAGAACTAGAGGTTTCAAGGCTGAATATATACTGTGTGGACTAAAGTGGACTGAAAGAAAAACATCATGTTACTCAGTGAGGTGGCACAGAGACATGGCCAACATCTAGGAGATGGGTGAACGTGACAGGCCAAGGATACTGGGCAGAGACTTCATCACGGGAGCAGCAGTGGCAGGGAGCCTTTCTGAAAGGCAGGGTCCTGGCCTGCTGGCAGGGGCACCTGTATTCCAAGGATTTTCATAGAACAAGTGCCTGAGAGAAAATAGGGAAGGAGCTGGGCAAGGCTGTTGGGTGGGAAGGTCGGGCAGGAGTGTCCTGTCTGCAGTCTAAGGCAAGCTCAGGGTGTCCTTGGGGAGACCAGAGTCACCATCAGTGTCCTGGGTCTCCCCATTGTCTCCCCTGTGAGTCCTTCATGGGGATGGGAGTGCAGGTGGGGGCGGCCTGTGGGAAGCTTGGCCGGGGTGTGGATGGGGGATGGATTGGAGTGGCATCAGTTATGCTGCCAGCAGCTCGTCTGCAGCACATTGCTGGTTTTGTTTATTTTATTTTTCAGTCTGCATTAATTAACGTGCTTGTGTGTTTGCCAAAGGTTTACTTCTAGTGTCTGAGCTATGAGCTACACCTCTTTCCCTGAAGCTCAGTGTATGGTTATAGTGTGCCAATAGGCTGGGGGTGGGGATATGGGTGGTGTGTGGGTGTGTGTGTGTGTGTGTGTGTGTGTGTGTGTGTGTGTGTGTGTGTGTGTGTGTGTGTGTTGCCCTATTCCGGGGCTCTCTCATGCGGTGTGGATGTGCAAACACGGTAGCTTCTCAAGTATAGTTCTTCAAATATTATATAAAAAAATGCTAGAAAATGTGAAAAACAAAAACGAAAATTCCCTGAGGACCCCAGAAGCAGCCACAAACCCAGGAGAGAGGCGCAGGGTGGCCCTCCTGTTGGGCTCTGTGGGGATGAAAGAGCCTCATGCTTTGTATCAGGTAAGTTTCATTTTATCAGCTGCCTGAATTAATAGTTTAGCAAGGCTGCCTCTAGTTTGACTCTGGTACTATTTTCAGCTTCTGGAATTATTTTTCATAGCCAAAGTTCCAGATTAACCACTCCTTTCTTGATGTCATAAACCAGAAATATGGGAAGCAGGTGAATTTGTCCAGCAACCCTGGGGTCAAGGCCAGGTTTCCCTGGAAGGGCTGGCCCCCAGTTACTCAGGGCCTGATTTTCAGCATCGGTAAAGATAGATGATAATGGTACCTATCTCCTAGGATTGTTGTGAGGCTTAAATGAGTTAACACAGTGCGGCATTTAGAGCAGTATCTGGCATGATGTCAATGTTCGCTAATTAGGTGTACCTGGACTATTTACCGCACACCTGGGCTTTCCCTCCCTGGGTTCCCCGCCTTGGTGCCCTCCTACCCATAGCCACTTGTCGGAAATGTTTCCCCTTCCTTCAAGTCCAGGTGAAATGCTCCTTCCTCTGTGAAACCCTCCTTTATCTCCCAACCTGTTATGGCTAGCCTCTCCGGCCTCTGACCTTGGAGGCTGGTTATTAGGACTCCTGCTACAATGGTGGTTGTTTCTGGAAGGCAGGCTTCGAAGCTGATTTCCTCTGTATTCTCTGATCCTTTTGAGGGAAATATGACAGTGTTGGGGTTAGAGGTCAGGCAGATGACATTCCTTTTGAAGGCTGGCTCTGCCACTTACTGCATGGCCCTGGGTAAGTGGCCAGGCCACCTCCAGTGCCTCTGTTTCTATACCTGCCAAATGGGGATCGTTAGTAGGACCAATTAATTCATAGGGTTGTCATAAGGATTCATGTAGGTAACGCATGAGGACTGTGTAAGCTGGTGCTGGGGATGTCAAAGAATAGCAGCCATCATTATTGTCACTGTTTGAGGAGTGAATCAGACTGGTTTGGTCTGGGGACTGACAGGTATCCCCTCCCTCTTTCTCCAAACAGGCCACTTTCTGACCCACAGTCCCTGCTTTCCAGATCCTGCTCCAGCCAGAGCCAGCCTCCTGCCTCCTCCTGAAGATGCCCTTCCTTCCTTAAAAACTGACCTTCCTGCTTCATCTGACTCAAAGGTAAATCCTCCACCCAAAAGCCATGTCCCAAGTTTGGGGCACTCTCTTTCAAAACTGCAAAGCATTTATTCCCTGAGACCAGTATGGGAGTTAGGGGTGTCATGAGGGCAAGAAAGGAGACCCATTGAATTACCCGAGCTTCAAGATAGTAAGTGCTGGCCAGTAAGACTTATGTTCAATACAGCTGGGACAGGTATGGGTTGGGGGGGAGGGGTTGGTACACTAGTGAATATACATTTGTTTTGAATTTTAATTTTGATTTACTCATACTGGATGGCTATTGTGTTGCCTGTTGTCATTTTTTAAAAAAGATTTTTTTCTATTTATTTTTAGAGAGAGGGGAAGGGAGGGCGAAAGAGAGGGAGATAAGTATCAGTCTTCTCATGCCTGGGGACCTGCCCCACAACCCAGGCATGTGCCCTGACTGGGAGTCAAACCAGCAACCTTTTGGTTTGCAGGCTGGTGCTCAATCCACTGAGCTGCACCAGCCAGGGTGTGAACACACATTTTTAATGAGCTTTTCCATTATTTGTGTTTAAATGAGAGCTGATAATTGGCATCTTCCTCTTGCAAAATATATTGGTTGTAGCAGGCATTTGCTTACACACTGCCTTACCTCCAATTTTTTTTCAACCCAAAATTTTGTGTGTGTGTTATCCTGCATTTTCATGACTTGGATCCAGGGCCACATATGATTTTGTGGGTCTTACGCACTTGTGCCTTCATTAGGTACCTGTCCTTCATTAAAAAAAAATATATATATATATATATTTTATAATTGCATTGATATAAAGATGAATATAATTCAAGCTAGATTAAAAATTAAAACATTTTCTTTGACTTCAAAAGTTTGCTTTTGTTCTTCTGATTTTACAAGAAATTAAAATGTATTCGGCCCCTAAAAGTGCGTGGGCTGGGCGCCTGGTGAAGAAGTCCACTCTGCAGCTCTGCGTGGGTCTGGTTAATAAAGCTGGCCCACAAAGGAGACAGGCTTTTAATTTTCTTTGAAAATTTATTGTGCTCAAAGATGGTAACTTGGGAGAATGACCATAGTGTAATGTTAAGTGAAAACACCAGATAACAGAACTATATATGCATCATGATTCCAGTTTGTTAAATAAATCCTTATATATCTAGTTTGAAAGAAACACATAAAACTTGAATAGGAGTTGAGTGGGTAATGGGATTAACAGGATTCCCCCCTCCCTACCACCCCAAGTTTCTAAAACTGTTTATAAGAACATAAAAAGTTTTAAACCTTTAAGTTTAAGTGTACCTAATTTTAAGAAGGAAGTGATTGAAGCAGAGCTCCTTTTCATGGGCTTACACACACAAGCAGCCTCCGAAGTGCTGATCACTGCATCCTGTTGGTTATGGGAACCCATATCCTGCTTCCCAGCGTGTACACCGCATGCAGGACAAGGGGCACCAGCTTGGCCATTGACCAGCTGTGTGATCTCACCTCAGCTCTTTGACCTAGATGCTTGCCTTTGTAAACTGAAAAACAAACAAACAAACAAACAAAGCAAATATCAACCATTTGGCAGGAATACTCACATTTTAGTTAATCTTCAAAATTTCCCTCCAGGGTATGATTGTCATGTTTATTTTTGCTGATGCAGTTAAAGTAACAGAGATGTTAAGTAACTTGTCCAAGGTCACAGAACAAGTTAAGGGCAGAGCTGGGATTTGAGCTGGCCTTCGTCATGTCCTTTTTATCAGTCCTCCTCACTGGATAAGATGACCCCCTCCAGCCCTTCAGCTCTAGTGTTCTAAGGTATCCTTGAAGTAGTAGGGAAAACAATATTGATTCCATATTAATCTCTGTCTCTCCTTTGAACCCCTAGGATTTCAGCACCTCCATTCCTAAGCAAGAAACACTTCTGAGCCTGGCTAGAGACAGCCTTCTCTGGAGCGAGGAGGACGTGGTTCAGGCAACCGATAACTTCAACCAAACCCACAAAATCAGTGAGGGTACTTTTGCTGACATTTACAGAGGACAGAGGCAGGGCATGCCATTGGTCTGCAAGAAGCTCAGAGAGGTGAGCACTTCTTGGTTTCTAGGAGAGGGCGGAGGCTGCATGCGTGGGGTTGGATTTTAATGTTTCAGTGTCTTTTCCCACAGATGGCCTGCTCAGGTCCAGGATCAATTGAAAAATTCTTGCAAGCAGAGAAACAAATTTGTCATAGGTAAGCCTCCCCTTTGGAAAATATTTTGTTTAGTAATGATGACAGTTAATCCTTACTTAGTGCTTCCTGTGTGGCAGGCATGTTTTAAGTACTGTGTGTGTATAAACTCATTCTATTCTTCACAAGAACACTGTAATGTAGCTGCTATTATCATATTATTTTGCATATGGGCAAATTCAGGCACAAAGAGGTTAAATGTCTTGTCCGGGATCACACAGCTAGCGAGTGACAGAGCCAGAATTTGAACCTAGATTGGTCTGGCTCCAGAGACCGTGCTTTTTTTGTGTAGCAACTGTATGTACAGATTGGAATTATTAAAGAACCTTGGCTCTCCTGGCCTGTCTCCTTTCATTCAGGGGGAAAGAAATCTGTTTTCATCTCATTTTTTGAGGGGGACAGAGACTTGCTGATTCCAACTCTAAGGGTGATTCCATCTTAAAATCCCAGTACTCTAGAGCAGGGTCTGGAGAATGATTATCCACAGGCTAAATCTGGCCCTGCCTGTGTTTGTATGGCCCAGGAGCTAAGAATGTTTGAAAAAAATAAAAAGAATATTTCATGACACATGAAAAATATAAAAAATTCAAATTTTAGTGTACAAAATAAAGTTTTATTAGAACACAGCCGTGCTCATTTGTTTCTGTATTGCCTGTGGCTGTTTTTGTGAGATAGCGCATAACTGGAACAAAGACCATATGACCTACAAAGTCTAAAATATTTACTATCTAGTTTTTTACAGAGAAATTCTGCCAACCTCTGGTCTTGAGCAGTAGGGGCCTTCAAAAGTTATCCTCACACCTGCTCACTCTACGGATGGGGATACTGAGGCTGGAGAAGTAAAGTGAGCCTCTCTGTCACAGAGCTGGGTGGTGACTGAGAAAGAGAAGGGGAAGGACTGTTTGGAGACCTAGGGACTTGTCCTGGCTCTGGCATCACTGACTGATGATAAATTTAACAAAGCATATTGGGCACCTGTCATGTGCTATACACCAGCTATCATTCAGCCTTGGCAAATCACTGTTGAGTTTCCTCTGCCCATGTGCAGCCTTGGACAAGTAATGCATGATAATTGTAGAGTATTTTAAGAAGTAAAGAAAACTGTAAATAAGAAAATAGAAATCACCTATTTTCCATAGCACCTACAAATAACCACTGCTGTATTAATATTTTGATGTTCTTTAACCCTTTGATAATCTTTAATCCTTTCTCTATTCATACATATGTGCCCATGTACATACACATATACACATACTTATGCAACACACACACTTAATGGAAACTGAAAGTCTAATAGCCCTTCCATCTTGGCATAGTGCCCTCCTGGAGTCAGCAGTCATGCCTTCATTCGTTGATTTGGCGAATGTAAGTTGTTGAGGCCTTACTTGATTCAGGGAGTGCAGGCCTTGAAGAATATATCACCCCTGCCTTGGGGAAGTATATGGTCCAGTAGGGAGAGTGGTATGTAAATAGCTTTAATGAGTGTGAAAAATGTGAAGTAGGATGGCCTGGAGGGTGCGGAAGAGGGCAGATGGGTCAGGCAGGAGGCTATCACAGTAGTCCTGGGGAGAATCCATCAGGATCTGACCCAAGGCAGAGAAGGCGGCAATGAAAGGGACGTTTGAGACTATTTATAGTAATTTCATAATTAAATGAGGTGATAAGGAGGTTTCTAGGAGATTGGACAGGTGGTGGTACACTTTGCTGAGATATTAACTATGGGTGGAGAAATGGGTTTGGGACTTGTGAAGTCTAGGTTGTTCACCTAGAGTGTGGAGGTGAGAGGTTTGGGAATGTTTCTTAAAGAGGTGAGAGTTACCTAGGGGAGCAGTTTATAATGCAGGATGATGAGCCCAGCCTGGGAGACTCAGGTTTCAGAGGGAGGTGAAGGAGGAGGGTCTTAGTGAAAAAGGCCAAGAGTGGTCAGAGAGGTAGGAGGAGAGTCAGGAGTCACTGGTGACTTAGAATCCAGTGGAAGAGAGTTTTGTGGAAGAACTCCAGTGCTGGGAGTCAAACAGACCTGCAATCTTATCCTGGCTTCACTGCTTGCTAGTTATAACCTTGGGCTAGTTGCTTAATCTCTAAGCCTCTGCTTCAGGAAGATGGGGTGGCTAAGGTGTCGTATACTGCAGAGCAGGGAGGCAGGATAAGTTGAAGCAACTTGACTTCTAGCTCCCTGAAGGCAGGCAGTTTTCATCTTTCTACCCTGGTGCTAGGGCCTCAGGGCAATGGAGAGGGTAGAAGAGGTGTATGAGGTAAGGAATTAGAGCAGTCTTTTTCAAAACATTTTTATAGATTTATTTTTAGAGAGGAAAAAAACCCATCGATTTGTTGTTCCACTTATTTATGCATTTATCGGTTGATTCTTGTGTGTGCCCTGACTGGGGATGGAACCCACAACCTTGGTGCATTAGGACAATATTCCAACCAACTGTGCTACCCAGCCAGGGCCAGAGCAGTCTTTGATTATTCTTTCTGTCTGACTCCTTACCCCTGCATTAATGCCTGATTTCAGATGCTGTCACCCCAATATCTTACCTCTGCTGGGCTTCTTCACCGGAAATCAGTTTTGCAGCTTGATCTACCCCTACATGGCAAATGGTTCTTTACAGGACAGGCTCCGGTGTCAGGTAAGATGCTAGGTCATGGTCAGAGAACAGGACCAGGCAGCACCCAGTTAGAGAATCAAGGGTTAAGGACAAACAGGAGTCCAGAGAGGGAGGGGCCATCCAGAGAGGCCCTTCAAGAGGAGTTAGTCCAGGATAGATAAGATCTGGCTAAACATCTTCAGGTAAAACCCTATAAAAATTTTATTTGGCAAAGAGGCATTACATCTGAGTCAAGAGCAAGACTAAAGTATCTCATAGGACTAATTTTATTCAACATTGTTCTGGAGGTGATAGCCAATGCAATAGAACAGGAAAAAGAATTAAGAGATACAAAGAATGGAAAAGTGGAAGCAAAGTTCTATTTAAAAATGTTATTCTAATATATACTTATTTGTTTGTGTGTGTATGGAATATACCTCTGGAAAAATACAAGAAAATGGTACCTTGGTTGCTTTTGGGGAGGGGAACTAGGTAGCTCTGACATAGGATGGGAGGGAAACTTACTACACATCCTTTTGTACCTTTTGCATATTATATCATGTGAGTGTAATACTTATTAAAATTAAAAATTTTAAAACAAACCTCTCTCCCTTCAAATCCTGAAACAGAGGGAAAAAGTTATTCCATGTGGAATTATTGCTTCCTTTGGCAGGGACCAGACAAAGCAGTTATTCATGGTATAATAATAATGATCATTAGCTTTGCTGAGCTCTTCCTGTGTGCAGGACACTGTGGGCTTTACACATGTCTTCTCCAGGCCTTGCAACAACCCAACAGGTTTTCTTCATTTTCCAAAAGAGGAGACTCTCTGGCACAGAGAGGCAAAATGACTTGCTCATAAGAATACAGCTGACAAGTGTCAGGGCTAGGTTTTAAACTGGGTTCATGTGGCTCCAGACTTCAGAGTTTTTGAGGAGAAATTGATTAGCAAGGCTAGTTCTTAGAGGACATGGAACCTAAGGCAGGACTTGAAAAATAAGTGGTGAATTAACCCGAAGATTCAGTCTTAGAACAACAGTGATAACACATGGGGGGAGATGGTAGGCTTTAGCCCACCCCACAATTTTCATCTGCCCTTGTGAAGTCTCCCCAGATAAGGCCCATATGTCTGATGTGCCAACGCAAGCTCTCTAGCTCCTCTCCTTACCAGTCTCTCCTAGAGAAAAATTCCAGAGTTGCCATTGTAATGGTCATCATAAAAATAGCTGCTGTTTTTTGAGCACCCACTATGTGACAGGCAGTATGCTAGGGACATACCAAGCATAAGGATTCTTTGAATCCTTACAACAACCCTAAAGCATAGGGATTAACGTTTCTATTTTAACCGGAGAAAACGAGGCTCAGAGATGTTTAGTGTCTTTTCCGAAGTCACACAGCTAGTGCATGTCTGTGCTGGAATTTACACCTAGATATTCTGATGTCAGAACTGGAACCCTGCCAGTACACCGTGCTGGTCAAGCCCTGTTGCAGAGGACAGGAAGGGCTGGAGGGGAGACAGAAGCCCAGGACCCTGCTATTGGGATTTTAAAAGGCACAGGTGTCATTGTTTCTCCTTTTCATTCTCTTAGGGTGGCTCAGACCCCCTCTCCTGGCCCCAGCGCATCAGCATCTTCTCAGGGCTGCTTCGTGCCGTGGAGCACCTTCACAGCTTGGAGATCATCCACGGCAACATCAAGAGGTGAGAGAGGACCCTGCCAAGGGCTCAGGCTGCAGAGATGACACAGACCCGCATCCCAGGGTTCTCTTCTCTCTCTATCACTCCTTTGCCTTTTTCTACCCACCTTACCTCCCTTGGGTTTCTCTTTTTTTGTTACACCCTCAAAAATCAGTGTTTCTGATTGTGGTCAGCATGAAATGCCAACCTGTCACCACATTTGTCTTTCTGAGCTGGTGTTTTCCCAACAAGCGCCCATGCCTCACACCTCTGATGTATTTTACTTCCCACCCAGCCAGCTGGCCTGTGCCTGGTCCTTGACATTTGGGCCATGTCTGCCAAGCCCCTGGAATTTTGAGCTCTGTACTCGTGGTCTTGGATACCTGCCCCCAACTTGTGTACCTGTTGGTGAAAGTGACTGAAGTCGGAGGCTTCCTGCAGGTTGAGGTGCATCCTGGCTATCATGCTCCCAGACATCTAAGAGCAAGAGATCCCTGTCTGAGGAGTCGTAGCATGGGGAGAAATTTGAGAAGATAGCAGAGAATTTGGAAAATCTGAACTCAAAACCATAGCACCCATACACCCCAAAGTCCTCTTTCCCTTTGGCAAGGAGAAGCTCTTTCTTCTTCTCTCCTCATGGATTCTCATTTGGTTGCACAAACAACAGGAATAGCAAGAAAGGAAATGAAATGACAAGAGGTCATACTGGCTCACAGCCAGACTCATCGGTTGGCCTCCATTTTTCAGTCTTAGCTCTAAGGTAGCATGGTTACCAATTCATACTATTCATACTCTCTTTCCGCCTTTATTTAAACACAATAAACACTGCATATCATCAGTTTTTGTGACTTCTTAGTCTTCCATTACAGGATTGTCCGCCATTTACCTATCCCTTGTAATAGTGGACATTGGAATTAGTGTCTACTTTTTTTAAAGAAAAGATTTTACTTATTTTCAGAGAGATGGGAAGGGAGGGAGAAAGAGAGGGAGAGAAACATCAGTTGGTTACCTCTTGCATGCCCCCAACCAGGAACCTGGCCCACAACCCAGGCATGTGCCCTGACTGGGAATTGAACTGTCAACCTTTCGGTTCACAGGCTGACGCTCAATCCACTGAGCCATGGCATGGTGTCTACTTTTAAAAAAATTATTAAGCATTAGTTCTACATTGAGTAGTTTTACACATGTAGCTGAGTCTTTTTGTCCATGCCCCTCCCCCCACCTTTGGAGTACTTTCTGAGAGTTCATGCCCATGGTTTAGATGAATAGATTCAAGAATATTTTTATTGCTCTTATTTCCTACAATTTGAGCAAGTTTAGTCAAAGGATGCTGACATTTATTTTTTATATATTTTTAATATTTTTATCCTTACCTGAGGACATCTTTTCATTGCTTTTAGAGAGAGAGAAACATTGACCTTCTTGCACACACTCCAACTGGGGATTGAACCCGCAACTCAGACATGTACCCTGATTGGGAATCAAACCTATGATACCTAGGTTCATGGGATGATGCTCCAACCAACTGAGAAGCCACACCGGCCAGGGCAAAGATGCTGGCATTTAGACTTGAATCAGCTGGCCAGAGCTGGGGGTCCAAACAGTTTTGAAAGGGCCTGAGATGATACATCCTATGAGTTTGGCCAGCTGAGGTTGATTGGGGTGGACAGTTAGGATGGTTGTGGGAATTTGGTCACTTCAAATGCCATTCCTGAGGCAGCAGGATTAATCTTAGTTCCATCCTCATTTACTGCTGGGAGCGGGCTTCCGTCAGAACTGGCTCAGAAACTCCATGTTGAGGGTCTTCAGTGTCCTTATCTTGCTGTGAATGACACTGTTCACTGCTAAGTTGTTTCCCAAAAGGGTCTCCATGGCAACCTCTTTTTGTCCAGCCCAAACTGAGAAGGTTTTGCATTCTTTTCCACAGCTCCAATGTTTTGCTAGATCAAAACTTCGCTCCCATGCTGGCTCATCCAGTGGCTCACCTGGGTCCTGTCAACAAAAGGTCAAAATACACTGTGATGAAGACCCACCTTTTCCAGGCCTCAGCTGCATATCTGCCAGACGATTTCATCAAGGTGGGACAGCTGACCAAGCGAGTGGACATCTTCAGCTGTGGAATAGTAAGAGTATTCTTCTCTGCTGAGGCTTGGGCCTGAACTCATTTGTCCTTTCCATGGTTCCTTTGTAAGCACAGGCTATAATAGAGGCTGGTAGATGTGTTATATCAAAGTACAGTAGGGGTTGGCCAGTTGTGGTCCACAGGCCAAAACTGGCCCATGGCCTATTTTGTATGGCCTGTAACTAAGGATAATTTTTACATTTGTAAAAGATTGAATAATAATAATTTTTAAAAACCCAAAGAATATTTGACAGAGACTCAGAAGCTTGGTTTGTGGCCCACAAATCCTAAAATATTTACTGTGTAGTCTGTTAAAGAAAAAATTTGCCAACCCTTGAAGTAAAGCCATTTATGAGTGCCCATATTGTAGTGGGAAGTAAAGCCATTTATGAGTGTCCATATCGTAGTGGGCTACAGATACCATCTACTGACGTCCCTGATTCCCATCCAGCCATCCATTTAATTTTCTGTTCAGTTGTGTTTATCCTTGTTTGATCCATCTGTTTTGTCCACCTGTCTATCCATCTTTACGATCATCTATCCAGCCATTCATCCAGCCATCCGGCAGCAGCCACCCATTCATTCACTATCCATCTACTCATCCTCACCACCTCCCTGTCTGTCATTACTGTGTGTAGACTACAAATGTAACTAAAATACAGACCCTCCCCCAGGAGCTCATGGTCTGAAAAGAGAAGTCTCCAGGTTCCATTTCTACAGAATACCAATTCCTTGAGATCTCTGTAGGTTTGGTGTGCCTAAAGGTTTGGTGGCCAAAGAGGTTTGGAAAATCTGTGTGAAGAAAAGTGAAAGAGGTTTCTTTACCACAAAATTCATCAGAGCCTTTAATATGATAATAAGCCTTTACTCTGTTAATTGTGAATTTACCACACTGGGCAAACAGTATGCTGTGTTTCCCAAATTAATCTGATAATTGAACCTTGTCCTCTTAGTATCTCTTAGCATCAGTGTCCCATGGAATCCAGTCTGGAAGATGCTGGCTGAGAAAATAACAGTCTCTGGTTGACGTCTGCCAAGAGCAAACAACTGTATTTTGGCCCTTGCCCTCTCTCTTCCTCCCCAGCCTTGAACTCTGAACTTCCTCTCTGACCACAATCTTCTGTCTGTCCATCTCCCTGTGAGTGCCCTCCCTCTGAGCCACTTTCTGCCCTCAAACCGACATCACATGTCAGATTCCGCTTCCTTCTGTCTCCCAGCCCATGGACTTTTCTGGTTTCTTTGCCCCTGTCAGGCCCACTGGCACTGAGGTTCAACAGGGCTTGCCCAGGCTCCTGTTCCTTTAAGACCTGATGGGACTGAACCCTGAAACCACGAGGTACAGTAGTGCAGAGCTCAAGAGCATGGATTTGGGTCCCAGCTCAGTTACTGTCAGCTGTGTAACCTAGGGTACACCAGCTATAACTCTGGGCCTCACTTTTATCTTCTGTAAAATAGGGGTAATGATACATATGGAGATTAATAAGATAATATACATAAACTGGTTAGCAAAGTGCCCTGTACATACCAAGATTATTAGTATTATAGTGGTTTGTTTTATCATTCCTACCTTCATACCCTCATTCCTGATTTTTGTTTGTTCTTGACGTTTTAACTTGGCTCTTGGTGTAACAGCTGACTACCTCCTGCATTCATTCAGTCACTCATTCATTCAGTGCCCGCTGGCTCGCTGCACTTTCTCTCAGCCCTGCCATTGACTAACAGTATGAGTTTGAACTTTGGTTTCTCATGGGCAACACTGGATTTCGCAATATTTTTTGGTGAGCACTATATGAGATCTCTGTAAAAGGCCCAGCACAGAGCCTGCTGTGGAAGAAGCAAAGGAAAGTTTATTTATTTCCCCTTGTTTTTTCCTTCCTTTCTGGAAGGTGCTGGTGGGGAGTCCCTTTTCAATTGGCTCCTGTCCACTTACTGCAGGGGTGCCCGCTGCTGTCCCCTCCTGGCCACTGCCAGCCTGTTATTAATCCAGTGGGCCCTTCCTCTGGAGCTGAGGGTTTCTTGGCAGTAAATGGGAACATATTATGAGTTGCTTCCAGAAGGGCTGTGGAAGAGAGATTTGACATGAAGCACAGGGTACTCGCTCCCTTGTATTCACTACCACTAGGTCTCCATTTACCAGGTGAGGGCACAGGCTCATTTTAGTTACTTGCCCAAAGACCCAAAGATTACCTGTGCATATAAGGAACAAAGTCAGAATTTGAACTTAGGCCTGTCTGACTATAGAGGCCTTAACTATCATGCTGTTATTTCTGCTGAGAATTCCTATTCAAAGCCGGTTTCTTGCTTACTAGGACACATATCATGGTTTGTCCATTTTGTGGTGGCTTACATTGGCTCAGGTCTGTGCTCCTTTTGTGAGTGGATGAACTAATGAATGAATAATGTCAATAAAGGCATATGGATAAAACATGCTATAGATATTGCTGAGATTTCCTGCATAGAATTCATGTCTGCACATGGATTCCTCTTCCCTGAGATTGACATAGTGATTCCTGCTTACCATTTATGATGGGTTTTTAAATGAAATTATCTTTAAAATAGAGTGTGTGTATATGTATATAAATACAGATATATGTGTGTGTGTATAATGGTATTTATTATACAGGGTGGGGCAAAAGTAGGTGTACAGCTGTTTGTATGAAAAATAATACAATAATAAATAATAATACAAGAATAAACTGTGTTTTGCATACTCACAATTGTAAACCTACTTATTTCCCATACTCTATGTATATATGCACATACATGCATATAGTTTATATATACATACAAATGAATATATGTATATACATAAAATTGATGGTAATACACACACATTTGGTTTCCATCCTTTCTGCCTTGCTATCAATTAATTCAAACCTTCTACGAGCAGCTGGGTGGCATGTTTATTTGGAGGAAGTGTGATATTCTTCATGTTCCAGATTTTGGGCACATGTCTGTGCTGGCAAATGGCAGAGCCAGGCCTGGAGCTCAGACTTCATTACCAAGAAGAAGCTTCCCTCTTGGCCAGAATCTACCGCCTGACCTTATGGGTGTTCGAACTATGCTAACTCCATGTTCTCTCCAGGTTTTAGCTGAGGTCCTCACTGGCATCCCTGCGATGGATAATGACCGAAGCCCAATTTTCCTGGTAAGGGAACCAGTCACTTCTTCCTGGGTGGTGTCTTTGGGCCTCATAGCTATGAGGGGTCAGGAAAGTACCCATTTTACAGATGCTACTGAGGCCTCAGTCCAGGGTTTGATTTGCATCCGTGCAAAGTAGCTTTCATCTCACATTCCCACCTGCCATCCAATGATTACATTTTTTTGATAAAGGAATTTAGAATGTTTAGGGAAAACTTACTTCTTTTCTCCACACGTTAGGCAATCAAATAGGGTTTGTCCTCAAATTGGTAAAAGTTAATTTCAGCCCTTTTAAATAGGTTTCTATAATAAATTCAATAACTTCCATATTTGGTACACTGAAAGAACTAACATATATATAATATAGTGAGTGTCATTTCAAACATGTAATAACACAGCTTGGCTCTGTTTTGCACTTTCTGTAAATTATCTTTCTAAATCATCTCAGAATTCCTGTGAGATTGACACAGGCAGTATGTTCATCTATACATGTGGAAAGCAGGCTCTGAGATTTGCCCGAAAGCTCAGTTATACTAAGTGTCAGAGCTGAAATTCTGAGTCAGGTCTTTTGATTTTAGATCCTGAGTTCTCAACCATGACACTCCCCTAACTGTTTAATTCTCGTGTGAATTCAGTATTACCACCATCCCTACTTTATAGATGAGAAAACTAAGGTCAAGGTTAAGAGACTATGTCTCATGCACCTTAATCAGATTAGTAGTCAAACTGGGATTTGAACCCATGTCTTTGGCAGTTTCAAATTCTGTGCAAGCTCTGGTCCTCTTTATCAGTTTGAAAGGGGAGCCCCTTTTCTGACTTGATTTGGAAGCCATTGGAGCAGCTGGCTTTTTTTGTGACTGGGCCCCAAAAGCATTTCCTGAGCTTTGGGGTGGAGAGCTGAAGGCCTCCCCTATATACAGAGAGTCACAACTTGTCCTTTTACTAACCTCCCTGAGCTCTGCCCTTTTTGGGCACCGAGCTCCAGATACTGCAAAGAGGTCAATGTGGGCAGCTCAGATGTCGTTTGGGTTGTTTGGAGCAATTCTCATCTCCTGACAGTTTTCTCAAGATGCATACCTCAAGGTGCTCTCGAGTTCCCTGAGCGAACATCACTGGAGAAGGAGGGTTTCAAGACACTTATGTGAAATTTGCTAGAAAGTTTTATCTGTTAATGGTTTCTAAAAATGTGAGAGATACCATTTATTTAAAAATCTAGTATTTTCCCTTTTCTTCTAGACCCAAATATGATCTCTCATCATTTCCTGTTGTGGTACATGCACAGTTAAGATTGTGCCTATCATCAAGATTTGAGTCAGAGGTGACAGCTGCTGGCACCTCATGTGGTCCTGGTAGGAAGGACGCAGGCCTCTCCTCCACACTTTGGGAAGTGTTTATGGACACAGTGTTTTCAGAAGGAATTGGGTGGTTCCCATCAAAATTTAAAATGTATATACACTCCAATGCAGCAGTTTCTCTTGTACACTGGGGAAACACACACAAGTGAAGAAAGACAGATGGACAAGGAGGCTTGTTAGCTTTATTTATGATAGTGAAGTGCTACAAACAAGTGAAGTATCTATCAGTTGGGAGGTGGTTAAAGAAATTATGATGTAATCATTCATACCGTGGAATACCACGAAGTTATTTATAAATAAATTTATACATGTAAGCTTATATTTATAAATGAGGATAAAGCATATGAAACATTTTGACACGTGTGTGTATCTGTGACCTTGTCACCAAATCAACATAATGAACATGGCCATGACCCCTTGAATCCTCCTCCCCTCATACCCGTCTTCTCCCCTGCTATCCCCTACAGCCACTGATCTGCTTTGTCACCGTACAAAAGTTTCCATGATTCTGAAGTTTCATATAAATGAAATCATACAATGTGTGCTCTTCGGCTGGCTGGCTTTTTCCACTCAACATAGTTATTCTGAGATACAGCCATGCTCTTTGTGCCAGCAGCTCATTTCTTTTGTCACTGAGTGGTGTTCCATTGCATGGATGTGTCGCTGTCTGTCCATAAACCTGCTGATAGACATTTGGCTTATTTTTGGGTTTTGACCATTACAAATAATCCTGGTGGGTAGCTTTGTGTGTGGGTCTCTGAACATATGCATTAGTTTGTTTGAGGTATAATTCACACTTTCAAGGTGTACCAAATGGTATGAGTTTTGATAAATGCAGACAGTTATGTAACTGTCACCATAATCAAGATATAGAATGTTTCCATTCTTCCAGAAAGCTCTTTCAGTCCTCTGTAGAGTCAGTCCCCTCTGCTATTTCCAACCCTGGGAATCTCCTGTTCTAATCTCTGTCCATATAGTTGTATATATTTTTGAGTGTCACATAAGTGGAGTCCTAGAATGTGAAGCCATTGTTTTGGCTTCTTTTACTTAGTGGGTTGCTTTTGAGATTCACTCATGTTGTTGTATTTATCAGTGGTTTGTTCCTTTTATTTCTGAGGAATATTCTATTGTGTGAGTATACAACCATTTACCTATCTATCTACTCACTAGCTGATGGACATCTGTGTTACTTCCAGGTTTTAGCAATTCTGAATAAAGCTGACTTAAACATTCTTATTTAAAAAGTAATGAGAAGTTCTGACCGGGAGGCTCAGTTGGTTAGAGTGTTGTCCCAATACATGAAGGTTGCAGGTTTGATCCCTAATCAGGGCACATACAAGAAGCAACCAGTGAATGCATAAATAATTGGAGCAACAAGTCGATGTTTTTCTTTCTCTCTCTCAAATCAATAAAATAAAAAAAATAATGAGAAAGACATATATTTGTTCTGACAGGGAAATATTTCGAAGTGAAAAAAGCGTGTTCAGAACAGTGTATAATTTAATGTCATCTTTGATAACAAATAGATGAATGAATAAAAATGTATCTTTTATTTTCTTATTTGTAAATTGGGGATAATTGTACCTATCTGATAGGATTTAGCAAAGGTTAAATAATGTGTGACATAGCTAAAGAACAGTGATGAAGGACATAATAAGCACTGTGTGTGGTAGCTATTATTACTTTTATTTTCATAGCTCTTAGGAGATTGCTTACTATTGTTGTAATTATTATTTATCGCTGAAATGAGCGTAGCTGTAGACTTTTGTAGGGGGAAGTCTAGAATAATGTAATCCAAACTATTAGCAGATTGGAGAGTGTTGACATGAGGGGAAAAGTTAAGTTTTGTCCTAAAACTTTAATCAGTTATATTTTAATTTTTAACAAAAAAAGTTAATAATAATAATGTGCTTTTGTAATAATAATTTGTTTAATTAACATTTTAAATTCAAATAATCTGCATAATTGGCTTGGAAAACCTAACAGCACTGGGCAGCAACTCCATGCCTCTCTCCTCCCCTGCCCTGTCTTGCTGGATTTCAGAGATGACCACTTTCTTCTTTCTTTTCCTGTTTTTAAGCTTTCATTCTTATTTTTAAATTTAATCAAAAGCAGATATATTTTGCCCTGATGTGTGTGGCTCAATTGGTTGGGCATCCTCCCACAAAGCAGATGGGTCCCTGGTTCCGTTCCTGGTCAGGGCACATACCTGGGTTGCAGGTTGGTCCCCAGCCGGGGGGTGTGTGAGAGGCAACTGATCGATGTTTCTCCCTGGCATATCAGCGTTTCTTTATTTTTCCCTCCTTTCTCCTCTGTCTAAAAATAAATAAATAAAATCTTTTTATAAAGTATATATACCTTTCATTCAATAATATTATGTATTAGTTATAGATGTGAAGCATGTTGGTTAGACAATCATATATTTTGCAAAGTGTTCCCCTGATATTTCCAGTAGCCACCTGGCATTATACATAGTTATTACAATATCATCGACAGTATTCCCTGTGCTGTGCTTTATATCCCTGTGACTATCCTGTAACTACCAATCTGTACTTCTCAATCCATTCACCTTTTTCACCCCGCCCCTCAAACCCCTTCCCCTCTGACAACCATCAGTCTGTTCTCTGTATCTATGAGTCTGTTTGTTTTGTTTGTTCATTTATATTGTTCTTTAGATTCTACATATATGTGAAATCATATGGTATTTATCTTTCTCTGACTTACTTCACTTAGCATAATACTCTGTAGGTAGGGATCACTACTTCTTAAAAGCTCTTTTTATCATGGACAATTTCAAACATACACAAAAGTAAAGAAAAGAATATAAAGATTATTCATTTATCCAGCCCATCAATTATTAATATCATGTTTTTCTTGCTTCTTTGCACCCCCAAAACTTTGTGTGTATGTACTTTAAAGCAAATTCCAAATATTATGTTATTTCTTCCATACAATAGTTTTCTTAATTTCTTAATATTATTTAATATCCATCCTATTTTTAGAGTTCCCACATCACCTCAAAAATTGTTTTTTAAAAGTTGGTTTGTTTAAAACAGGATACAAACAAGGCCCATATCAGCCTTTGGTTGTGTTTCTTAAGACACTTTTATTCTCTAACCATACTCCTTCCCCCTTTACTTTCTGTATATCGTTTCATTTCTGCAGAAAGTGGGTCATTTGCCCTATAGACCTTCTTACGTCCAGATTTTGGTGCTTACGTCCTTGTGGTATTCTTGTTTCTCTTTCTCATATTTCCTATACACAGGCAGTCAGCTCACAGACTTGGTTAGATTCATGGTCAGTGATACTTCCTAAATGGTGTTGTGTACTTCATAGCATCATAACACGAGGCACACAACACATCGCCCTACTTTCAAGGCTAAATTAATCAGTGTATTCGGGTGGACATGCTGATTTCCTCCATTACCAAGTTCCCCCATCACCCTGCGACTGAGTGTTCTTAGCTTGTTTTTGATGACTATTGCTAGATGAGATCCATGACCTCATTGGGGATAGACAGATGGTAAGCATCTCCATCTATTGTTCTTTCAGGCTAATCACTTCGACACTTTCTGGTTAAGTTTCAGATGGTGGTCACCTCCATATCTATAAACAATATGCTTCTACTGTTATTTATTGATTTATCAACTTCAAACACCATTATGATTTTTAAAGAGATAAACATTTAAAAGGCATACCTCACATGAGAGAATTATGCAAAAGGGTATTTAAAAACCTGTCATAAGTTTTTATTTTTTAATAAATAAATAATTTAATTTATTTTAATTTATTGATTTGAGAGAAAGGAAGAGAGATCAATTTGTGTTTTTATTTAAAAATTTTTTAAATTATATTTTATTGATTATGCTATTACAGTTGTCCAAATATTTCCACCTTTGCCCTCCTCCACCCAGCCCCACCACTCCCTCAGGCAACCCCCTGAATATTGTTCATGTCCATGGGTCATGCATATAAGTTCTTTAGCTACTCCATTTCCTATACTGTATTTTACATCCCCATGACTCTTCTGTAACTATCTATTTGTACTCCTTAACCTCCTTGCCCCTTCCCCCACGTACCCCCCCAATATGGCAACCATCAAAGTGCTCTCTGTGTCCATGATTCTATCTCTGTTGTTCTTGTTTGCTTAGTTTGTTTTTTAGATTCAATTGTTGATAGATAGGTGTTTATTGCCATTTTATTAATCATAGTTTTGATCTTCTTTTTCTTAAATAAGTTCTTTTAACATTTCATATAATAATGGTTTGGTGATGAGGAACTCGGGTTTTTTCTTGTTTGGGAAGCTCTTTATCTGCCCTTCAAATCTAAATGATGCCTTTGCTGGGCAGAGCAATCTTGGCTATTCGTCCCTGAAGATTCTCTCTTTATCTTTAACCTTTGACATTTTAATTATGATGTGTCTTGGAGTGAGCCTCTTTGCATTCATCTTGTTTGGGACCCTCTGTGCTTCCTGGACTTGTGTATCTATTTCCTTCACCATATTAGGGGAGTTTTCTTTCATTATTTTTTTCAAATAGGTTTCCAATTTCTTGCTCTTTCTCTTCTCCTTCTGGCACCCCTATGATGCGAATGTTGGACCACTTGATGTTGTCTTAGAGGCTGCTTATTCTGTCTTTATTTTTTTTCTTGTTTTTGATTCTTGTTATTCTGATTGGTTGTTTTTTGCTTCCTTATGTTCCAAATCATTGATTTGATTCTTGGCTTCATCCACTTTACGGTTGTTTCCCTGTAAATTGTTCTTTAACTAGTGTATCCTTCGTTTTTTAATGCCGTTGAGGTCCTCCCTTAGCTCCTTGAACATCCTTATAACCAATATTTTGGACTCTGCATCTGATAGATCGCTTATCTCCATTTTGTTTAGTTCTTTTTCTGGAGCTTTTATCTTTTCTTCCATTTGGACCATGTTTCTTTGTCTCCTCACTTTGGCAGTGTCCCTGCATTTGTTTCTATGTATTAGGTAGAGCTGCTATGACTCCTTGCCTTTGTAGTGTGGTCTAATGTATTAGGCGTCCTGTAGATCCAGTCACCCAGGCTCCTCATCACCCAGTCTGGGTACACAAGGTGTGCCTTTTGTGTGAGTTGAGTACACCCTCCTCTTTTAGTTGAGCCTTGGTTTTTGTTGGCAGGTCAATGGGAGGGATTTACCCAGGTCATTGAGTTGCAAGGACTTGGTGTGACCATTGACCACCAATATCTGCCCCCTGTGGAGTATCAGCTGGGCAGGGGCTGGGTGATGGTTCTCTGATGTGGTCTGTAGCTGTCCACTGTGTGTGCTGGCCCTGGGGTTCCCCGAATGTTGCAGGCCAAGGTTAGCCCCCATCTGTGTTCTGCCTGGGGCCACTTTGCCTGAGCTATAAAACAATCCAAGATGGCTGCTACTTTTGCTGGGCTTGGAAATTCCCAGGTGAAGCTAAGCTCTGAATCTAGGCTGGCTGCTGCTAGTGTTGGGCCTGGGGCCAATTAGTAAGGGATGTGGGGGCTGGGGGCTCACAGAACCCAACTGTTGCTTGTCTGAGAGGATTTAGGAATTTGTGAAGCATGAGTCAAACCAGCCATTCATACAGAAAAGTCACTTGGGTGGGTTGGTAAGGTGGGTGGGACAGGGTCTCAGGTAATCTCCAGGGCGGGGCAAACAATGTTAGCCAGGTTGATGGGTCTCAGGCATGACACCCACCTGCCAGCTCTGTGGCTCTGTTGGGGGAAAGTTTAGAAAAGGATCAATGGCTTCTGCCTGCTTTTCTGTCTGGGAGAAAGCTGTTCCCAAGCTCTTGCTTTGATGCCAGATACTTCATTCCCTCCCTGTATGCCACTGGTACCTTTCAAGCTGCTATCTGGGTGCTGGAGCTCAGAGGGATTGAGTCTGAGTAAGTCCATGTGTGGATTCTTTAAGAAGAATTGCCTGGGGCTCTAGAATTTTCTTCCACTGGCTCAATCCCCAGTGGTTTTTGCAGTCAGAAGTTATGGAGACTTATCTTCCTGGCACTGGAACCCTTGGCTGGGGTCCTGGTATGGGGCTGGATTCCTCAATCCTGATATCCCTCCTGAATTTTTATTTGGCATGTAGATATGGGACCAGCCCATTCCACATCTCTGCCCCACCACCAGTCTGGATGGATGTGGTTTCTTTGATTCCGTAGTTGTAAGACTTCCATTCAGCTCGATTTCTGATGGTTCTGAGTGATGGTTGTTCTGTAGCTTAGTTGTAATTTTGATGTGGTTGTGTGAGGAGGTGAGCTGTGTTTACATTTGCCACCATCTTGACTCGCAGACTCAGCCCGATTTGTTGTTCCACTTATTCATGCATTCATTTGTTGATTCTTGTATGTGCTCTGACTGGGAATGGAACTGGCAACCTTGTCATGTCTGGACGATGCTCTAACCAATTGAGCTCTGCGGCCAGGTCCAGCCGGAGGTTTTTAGTCTCCAGGCATTCAGTTCCTAATGTGGTCAGGCATTTAGGCATTATTGGATCTGCAAACAACCTATTTTCTGGATAGGGAAACTGAGGCAGAATGGGGAGTCTTGTTTTGTTTTTGACACAAATTATCACAACCGATGTCTGATAATCTCTGATACTTTTTTCCTAAATTGTAAATGTATTTGTATGAAAAGCTGTGTAAAGCAACAAAATTAATTTATTTTTATATTTAATGAATATCTTCTATACAAAACAATAAAGTCATACAAAAATTAAAAAGTGAAACTTAACCAAAGAATCAGTTAGTAGGTACAATTTATGAAAACATTTATGAGACACTTACTGGGTGCCAGGCACTGTTCTTGGTGCTGGGGGTACAAAGATGAATAAGGTAAAATTTCTATCCTCATGGAAGAGAGAAACCTACATTCTAAAATGTTTATTTCATATTGTATGAAATTGTCCCTATAATTATTAATATGATTAAATTATTAATGTAAGTGCTTAGCATATATTAAGTACTATATAAGTGATGGCTATTTTTACTGTTAATTATTGTCATGAATAGACTGTTGAATGTTTACTTTGTGTCAAGTATTACACTTTATGCTTTAGATCCATTATGTAATTTAACATTTTTGTTAGTACTATTATCCCCATTTTTCTGATGACTCACCTGAGGCCTACCAAGAAAGATTAAGCCACTGCATTTGCGGTAATTGTTTTAGTGTACTGTGGAAAGCCCTGTGCATGTAGGGAATTTAGCAATTGTTCAGTTCTTTGCTGTTTTGCTAATTTCCGGGAACTTTTCATTTGTTTTTGTTTTTTAAAGATTTTATTTATTTATTTTTGGAGGGGAAGGAAGGGAGAAAAATAGGGAGAGAAACATTGACCAGTTCCCTTTCATGTGCCCAATGACTGGCCCACAACCCAGGAATGTGCCCTGTCTGGGAATTGAACCCATGACCCCTCAGTTTTCAGGCTGGCATTCAGTCTACTGAGCCATACCAGCCAGGGCCTTGCAGTCATTTTAAAATCCTGTTGGCTTTCTGAGAAGCTTTTGCAGCTCTGGTGCAGTCATGGAGGTGGGTGAGGCATGTGTGTTTGGATCCCACGCCCCTGCAGCTCACTCCAGGGTATTTTTACGGTTTTTCCCACAGAAGGATTTACTCCTCCATGAAATTCCCTGCTCCAGGAAGATGGGCACAGAGAAAGTGATGGCCAAGGAGATTTGCCAGAAATACCTGGAGAAAACAGCAGGGTGGCTGCCGGAGGACTGTGCCGAGGCTTTGGCCACAGCCGCCTGCCTCTGTCTGCGTAGGCGGAACGTCAATCTGTCGGAGGTGAGCTTGACTCTCAGCCTTTCACCAGAGATGAGCTCTGTCCTGGGTCAGCTGGACCTCTCTTCTGGGGGCCACAGGTATCTATCTGTTTTATCAGGGTTAATCCCTTCACTGAGACATGCTCTCATTAACCTGGAATGTATTTAGTTGGAAGTAGCTGAAGGTGTTGGAACCCTGACATGGCCATATATGGACAAAAACTCTCAGGAGCCTGAGGGTGGTGTACTGCTGGCCTGAGGGACCTAGGACAACACCCTGGGATGTTAACAGAACTCTGGCTGCTTTCTCTGAATGTGCCTTATTCCTCCTCTTCTTTCCGTAGGCCCCCTTTCTCTTTTTATTTATCTTCTTGGTTATGTGTTAGGTTCTACCTCCACTGAGAGACAGTCTCTAGGTCCGTATTCCAGCATCTCAGTGAGAGAATCTGATTGTCCTAGCTTGGGTCAGGTTGGTGCCATTGGCCAATCTGATAAGATGAGTGGGGGTAGGGTCTAGAATATAAACCTGGTGGTCAGCGAGGTCAACCTCTGAAAGGAGAAATGGCCAGGTCCTAGAGAAAGGGAGCATCTTTAGCTTGTGGGTTAGGCAGATACCCTAGAAATCAACCATCACAGGGAATAAAACATTTTCTTATGGACAGGATATGAAAAGGTGGTTTCCATGGTAACAGGTATAAATTTGGGGACCACTGCTAAGGACAAAATTCCTGCCTGAGAGGGCTCTTAGAGATAATCTAGCTGAGTGATTTTTCAAGTGATGTCTGGCAGAGAAGGGCTCCTGGAAAGTATCACAGGAGTTGCTGTTGGCAGCAAGAGGACTGTGGGGAGCTATCGGCCCCACCCATGGCTTCAACCAGACACCACTTTAACTTCTCATAATTATATTGACTTTTCAGTAGTTTATTTGAGGAAAGGGTTTATGATTGCTGTAAAAAATCTTCATCAAACACTACTGCTGTAGCCCGAGTCTTGTTATAGATGGGGAAGTAGAGGCCCACAGAGAGGAGAAGATGAGGCCACAGACTGAGTTTCTGTCACAGCTCTTTGGATTCCTTGTTCATCCCCATGTCCATTTTCTTGCACCATCATGTGGCAAGAGCTAGACACCTGAGTCATTGGTCTAGGCCTGGGCGACTCTCCTAAGCCCTAGTGCTGTGGTGTTCAGTCATTCATTCAGCAGTTGTGTACTGGGCCCTCGGGGATATGTCAGTGAGCAAGGCCAGTTCCTCTTTCGGGGAGCTCACAGACATTGCACAATAATTGTGGTGAGCACTGGGATAGTGTTTGACAGGGGCTCCACCGAAGAGGATTTTCCAGAGGAAGTGATGTATAAGCTGATGAAGAGTCTTCTGAGCAGAAGTAACAGCTTATAAAAATATCCTGAACTGAGAGGGAGCCTGGCATGGTCAAGGGCCTGGAAGAAGGGCAGAGTGTCTGGAGCACAAAGTTCATGGGGCAAAGTGGTTATGATGAGACTGCAGAGGAAGGAGGAGCCAATAATAGAGGGTTGTGCAGGCACAGCCAGGATTTAGAAGAAGTTGCCAGGGGTTTTAAGCAGAGACAGAACATAATCCGATTTATGTTCTAAAAAGATCTCTCCTGCAACCACTTAATCTTTCATTCAGACTTTCATCCTTTCATTCATTTTATTTTTTTGTTCAGTGTATTAAAGTACTCTTGACGAAGCTGCTATAATGAAGAGACTTCAAAATACAGTCATTTAAATGAGATAGATTATTCTCTTTAGTTCAAGTTTGAATGTAGGCAGTCCAGAGCTGATGTGGCAGTGCCGCCGTATTGGGGACCTAGGTTTCTATACTGTTGCTTTGCTGTCTTTACCATGTGGCTTCTGTTTCAGAGTCCGCGATGGCTGCTGTAGCTCAGGTCATCACTGCTGCATGCCAGCCACTGAAAGGGGGCTAAAAGGAAGAGGGGAGCACACCCCCTTCCTTTTAAAGGTGTGCCCTGGAGATGTACATATCACTTTCTCTCACACCCTATAGGTCAGATCCTAGTTGTGTGGCCATACCTAGCTACAACGGAATGTAGATTTTAGCATGGCAAGTATTTACTGGGCATATACTCTGAAGATTTATCTCAAGAGGTGACACTTGAATTGGGCCTTTAAGGATGAGGGGCCGTTTGCTATGTAGAATAAAGGGGATAGAGCACTTTAGGTATACAAAGAGGAATGAGGAATGGTCCTTTCCCCAGTATTTTACAACCAAACTAGGAAGATGGAAGATCAACTGGGACATAGGGACTTTAAGACAAGCAGGATTGGATTCAGCCTTCAACTCTGCCATTTATTAGCTGGGTGGCCTTAGGCAGGGAACTTAACCTTTTTGATCTTTTAATTGTTTATCTACAAAAACTCACTGTGCATCACGTGTCAAATGTGCTTTGTAAATTGCAAGGCACGGAGCAAATGAGATTTGTTACGGTTATTATAGGTATATATGTGTATAATACCTTTGTACTATCCTTTGTGTGTGTATAAAGAAGAAATATTCCTTCCCGGCCTTTCTCTAATTTTCCTAACCTGCCTAAACAGAAAAACTCTCAAGGACAATATCTATATTACTTAAGACATTTCTAGTTGAAAGTTATAGAAACTTCAGTGCAAACTCTTAGAAATACACACAGAAAGACACAGAGAGAGATAGGGGGAAGGGGAGCATGTGAACGAGTAGATGAATGAGTGAATGAATGAATGAATGAATTGGCTCATTTAACAAAATAGCAGACAGGACAGGCATTGTGAGGGCAGCTATAACTAGGATCTCAATCAGGAAAGGTGCAACTATTTGTATCTGTGCCTGTGACTCTGTCTCCATCTCTTGCCTCTGCTTTACTCTGTTAGGGCTTCATTTTCACCTACTGTAAATGGATTTTCTGTGTGTGTTAGGGCGTCTGGCTCTGCCACTGGAAAGGAAAGGGGAATTATTCCTCAATAAGCTTTAGGTGCAGAAATCCCAGAGGATTTTGATTGGCCTGCTTGGGTCATGTGCTCAAACCTGAACCAATCATTAAGGTCAGAGGAATGGGACACTATGAGTGGTCTGTCTTGGTCATGTGGTCTTATCTATAGCTAGGGTAGATGGGGGCAACTTCAGCTCTTTTCAAGGGAAGGCTGCTGTTTTTCCAGGCAAAGCAACAAGCATTGGATCCTTCAGTGTCTGTCTCTCCTGAGGCCTGAGAGACCTGTTAGATTTTTGCTTTCTGAAAGGATTTTTGGTGATGTTCTTGTTTCTCTCCTCTCCGAGGTATGTGACTCTGTGGCTGCTGTGGAAGAGCAGCTCAGAGGTCAGGAGATGTCGCTCTCTTGGGATGGGCTTTCCGAGGGCACGGGCTCTTCCTCCAACATCCCAGAAGAAACAGATGATGTAGACAATTCTAGCCTTGATGATTCCTCCTCCACCAGGGCAGCATCCCAGTCTGGGATTGCTGCTTCGCCTGACCCCACAGAGGATGGAGAAGGCAGGATGCAGGCCAGTGGAGGAATGCAGGCTGCTTCCTCCTCTGAGGCCTGTGCCAGTCCAGAGCCTCCCCAGGGTGGTAAGTGTGTAGAGGTCTGAATGCTTATACACACTCATTTATATGTCCCTAACGCAACTCATCACTAATTCCTTCCATCTCCCTCATTCACATGTTCCTTTGATTATTCAGCCATTCCGATACCACCTGACTGCACCAAGAAAAACCTAGGGGAGAGATCCTTGATATCTTCCTCTCCCTCCAGTCCCCCTATGTCCTGTCCATCATCCATTCCTAGTCATTCATCTAAATGGCTCTCAGGTCCATCTGCTTCTCTACATTGCACCCTCTACCATAACTCATTGAAGCCATATTCCTTTGCTGGATGACTGCACAGCCTTCCTTTATCTTTCCTGATCCACTCTGGCCCCTCACCAGTCCTTTCTCCAGGCCCCAACCAGAGTGGTTTTTAAAAACAACGCATGTCACCCATTGCTTAAAGCCCTTGTGCGGCTTCCCATTACACTTAGTGACCAAGTCAAAACTCTTCCTCCAGACCAGCAAGGCCCTGTATGATTTGTCCCTCCCTGCCTGCTTGTTCAGCCTCACTTCATAACATGAACCCATACTTGCCAGCTGCTTGTAAAGCTACCTTCTAACCAAATAAATGAGGCTTCCTTCTGAAATAAAAAATTTGGAACACTTCTTCAATGCTTTGTCCCCTAGTCGATATGACTCAATGAATGTCCTAGGCTCTGGCCATTCCTACTGCTCCTCCTCTCTTGTGGAAGAGAGAGGGAGAAAGAGTATAAGTGGTCACCCCAACCCTCTACCTTGGGGAGGAACATGGGAGCCACACTTCTTCTCTGAAAGGTGGGGGCAGGTGGCAGGGCTTTCCTGCAAAGGCAGAAATGATAAAAATGTTCATTACACTCAGGACCTGATTCAGAAACCTGATTTAAGTGAGAAACTGTGACCAAGTCTGACTTTCTAAGACTTATAATAATAGTATCTATTACCAAATGCTTATTGTTCAAGTGGCTTTTTAAAAAAACTTTCCATTGAATATCAACTACAGAGACTTCGTGGAAAATTGAGATCAACGAGGCCAAACGGAAACTGATGGAGAATATCTTGCTCTACAAAGAAGAGAAACTGGACAGCATTGAGCTTTTTGGCCCCTGATGACCAGAACTTAGCTGAGGACCTGAACTTAGCAGAGGACCCTTGTCCTCAATTGGAAAGATGACTGTCAAATCAAGAAAAAAGTTTGGGACAGAATCCAAGCTTTCTCAGGAAACACAAACCAAATATCAACTTCCGGGGGGTGGTGGGGGAGAGGAATTTCCAATTTCCAGAGTAAGTGAAGGGAGAAGGGGCCTCAGCTTTTAGAGACAGCAAAATCTACAATGTCCTCTTCCTTCCTGGAATTTGCTCATCAGAGCTGGGTATCAGGCTGAAGCAATCCTGGTACATGGTCCCAGGATGTGGGCAATTTTGTGGTTCTGGGGAGGGTGTGACGTTAACCACCCCAGCAGATGCCGTTACCTTGTTCTCACCCCTGGACAACTGACAGAGCATTCTGAACCCTGATGGCACGTTGCAAAGTTAAGATCTCTGGGTCACATTTGCCAACAACTACCTGCAAACTTCCATGATCTGAAAGATATTCAACTTGTGTCCCAATGCAGTTCATGACTTATTTCTCAAGGTCTCTAAGTTTTACAAATTCTGTACACCTGTCAAAGGGTCTGTAGGTTTTCTGTTTTGTCTGTTGGAAAACAAGAGAACTGATTTTATATCTGATTCTGCTGCTAATTATGTCAATCATGTAATTTGTGGAACCTCAGTTTCCTTGTAAGTAACACCTGTTCATTTTTCCTCTGTGCGCTGTTGGGAAGAACAGGTGAGACATGGCTATAGAAGTACTGTTCCTTAAAAATGCACTTGTCCTGTTTTATAAAATAAATAAATGTATAAAAAGACATTAGACATCTATTTCTGCCATGTACCTAATGTTTATGCAATGGGTATATTTCTGAAAAGTCATGTTGCAGATCTTTTTGTGAAATAAATGTTCTTTTATATTTAATTTTCCCTATTTTAAATAACCCTACTATAGTGATTTTTTCCTTTTTATTTTTGTAAAATAAAAATACATTGATAAAGTCAACAGGTACCTTGTAATTATTTTTGTCCAGATGAATTTGTTTGGAGCAGTTGCTCTGCATCCAAGAGCTAAGGTATCATGGGGTGGCTAAGAGATTGGGCACTAGCTGTAAATCCTGACTATTGATAGCTGTGTGATCTTGGGCCAAGTTTGGGAGTTACTCTGACCCTCTGTTTCTTCATCTCTCCAATGGGGAGAATAAAAAGTCCTGGTTTCATAGGTTTACTGTCAGACCAAGAGGCAGATCCTGCCTGGTATAAGCATTCTATAGATCCCTAGCAAGGTCAGCCTTGTACTGATATGTAACAAAGCCAGATGGACTCCAGCCCAGGTGGACAGCGATCTGTACTGACACCCCTGTCTTTGGTGGTTGTTAGAATTCAACTAAAGTGTGTGTCATGTTCCTCAAGCAGGACCTGGCATGTGGTAAGCACCTTACAATTATGAGTAGGGCATTAACAGGGCTCTTTGAGCAATAGAGGGCAAATACTAATAGGGTACTGGTTATCCAGATACACTTGCATTTCTAGACTAGGGCTTCATATGTTTCTAGAGAGATTCATTGAAAATCTGACGAAAGCTATGGACCTTTTCCCCTCAGAGTGCTGTAAATACATATACATACCACTCTGTATATTAATTCCAGGTGTTCATGAATCCCCAGAGGGTTGGATGGCCTGACTTTTCAAAGTCGATAAGATGCATGTGACCAAGGAATCCAAAAAGTATAAAAGGTTACACAGTGGAAAGAAAGGAAGCCTTTTAACCACTTGAAACTTAAGTCTCTCATTTCTTCTCCCCAAAGGCAACCACTGTTATTAGTTTGTGACTAGTTCCAGAGATGATTAATTTTTTTTTATCTTGTTGCTCAACTTCATTAGTCATTGTGTGTATTATGTGCTGTTGAGTTGGCTCTGACCCCAGGCAACTCTATGAAGGAGTGCAGTCACAATGTCCTGTTCTCAGCTCCTGTAGATTCAGGCCTGTGGCTTCTTTTATGGAGTCAATCCAACTCATATTTGGCCTTCTCTTTTTTCTGATGCCTTCTATTTTCCCCAGCATTTTTGTCCTGTCCAAGGAAACCTGCCTTCTCAGGATGTGCCCAAAGTAGGATAAGACAGTTTCAGTTTTGTCTTTTTGCCTCCAGCAGTATTTTAGTCTTAATTTGCTCTAGGACCCACTTCTTCATCTTTCTGGTGGTCCAGGGTACTCATAGAGCCTTTCTCCAATGCCATATTTCAAGTGAATCATTTCTTCCCACATATTCACTTTCTTCACTGTTCAACTTTTGCATTCATACATACTAATTGGGAAAATGAGAGTGTAGGTGATCTTAGCCTTGGTCTCTAATGACACATCTTAGCTCTTGGTGATCTTCCCTAATTCTTCCATTGATGCCCTTCTGAGTCTCAGCCTTCTCTTGATTTCTTGGCTACAGTCTCCATTTGAATTGATGACTGAACCAAGGTAAGCATTAGTCATTAGGGAAATGTAAATTAAAACCATAGTGATATACCACTTTGCACCTGCTAGAATGGCTAAAATATAAAAGACAGACAACAAAAAGTGTTAATAAGGATATAGAGAAATTGGAACCTTCATACTTTGATGGTGGGATAGTAAAATGGTGAGTTATTTTCCCTCCATCCTTATCTACCTAAGAGAAATGAAAACATGTCCATACAAAAGAAATTTGTGCACCACTGTTTACAGCAATATTCAGAATAGCAAAAAGTAGAAACAACCCAAATGTCTATCAACAAAGGAATTGATAAACAGAATGTGCTATATTCATACATTGAAATATTCATCAAATTTATTTAATTAAAACTATTCATAAAAGATGAAATACTGATACATGCTACAAAGTGGATGAACTTTGAAATTATTTTGCTAAGTAAAATGTATGATTCCATTTTTATGAAATGTCCAGAACAGGCAAATCTATAGAGACAGAAGCTAGAAGTGGAGGTGGGGAAGAAGGGTTGAGGAGGGAAGTGGTAATGGTCACAAGATTGGGGGGTGCTGAAGTGTTCTAAAATTAGATTAGGGTTATGGTGGTGGTTGCACAAATGGTACAAACACACTAAAAAAAAATCAGAATTATACACAAAAACATTTTGTATGATTAAACTACACATGCGTGAACTTTATGGTATGTAAATTACATCTCAATACAGCTGTTGGAAACATATGAATACAAAATGGTTATTCTTAGGCATTTTTTAAAAACTTGAGGTTTCTATTTTTTTTTTTTTTTTTTTTTTGCTATACACAGGGTATTTCATTCACCCTGTTTGAGAACTTTTTTTTTTTTTTTTTAAATGCCTGTCTTGGCTATTCTTTGTCACCAGTACTTTTGGGTCACTTCATTCTTTTTGCCTAATTGTATGGATAGTCAGTACTTTCACATAACTAGCTTTGCTTCCAGCATATTGAGGTTCATTCTTGCACTACAAACAATGCTGCCTTTCGAGGACATTGTACCAATTTACACATCCATCAGTGATACATGGGAGTGCATTTTCCCACATCCTCGCCTGCAAAAAATATTATCATGTTTTTTAATCACTGCTAATCTAATGGGTGAAAATTTTATTTGTACTTCTTAAATGGCTGAGGTAGAGTTTTGTTTTTTTTTTTAACATGTTAAAGAGGCTTTTGTAATTTATTTCTGTTCATTGGTTCATTTCCTTGGTCCATTTTAATATGAATTCTCAATTTCTAAAAGATTTTATTTATTTATTTTTAGAGAGCGAGGAAGAGAGAATGAGAGAGACACATCTGAGAGAAACATCGATTGGTTGCCTCTCATTTGGCCCCCACCGGGGACTGAACCCGTACCCTAAGCATGCGCCCTGACTAGATCTAACCCGGCACCTTACCTTCTTGGCACAATGCCCAGCCAACTGAGCCTCACCGAGGACGGCATGAATCCTCTTACTGAGATAGTTTTTACACAGTAAGGCCATCAGATTTTTGTCACATGTTGCAATTATTTTTCTTGTCTTTCTTTCAAATTTTTTGCCAGGCAGAAATTTTATATTTTTGTGTAGTTTCCTAGGTTGGTTGGTTGGTTAGTTAGTTATTTAGTTATTTATCTATTTATTTATTAATGGTAACGTAGATTTGATAATCGTATCCCGATCTGAAAGCGTCTGGCAATGAGCCGGCAACGCTGAACGTAACGCAGCGGCCCTCTGCTAACCAGGTCTGCAAACGCCCTCTACGTCTTCAGAGGGCGGCCCCAAGACCTGCTTGCAGCCTTGCCTCTATTTCGCGACCCAACAGCCCTAGTAAGTGGCTCCGCCCCACCTAGCTTCTGACCAACGGGCGAGTTTCATAAGACGAACGCTCCCGCCTCCTAGACTCCTGGCCAACAGGCGAGCTTCGTCTTGCTCGGAGTCTCGCTCCTCGCTGATTGGAGCAGTGGGCATCCTCAGTCCGGCGCAGGACCCGCCCCCACCGCACGTCGGGCTACTGGCCTCAGGGCTGGTTCTGGGAGGCGGGCGTAGCGGAGGCCCGCGGCGTCGGATCTTCCGAGGAGCCCGCCGAATTGGGGCGGGCGGCGAGCGGCGAACCGGAGGCCGGGGCGGAACGTCCGGGCCTTGGGGTCGGCGGGGCCGACGACTGGGCCGCGGAGCAGGGACTGAAGGGGAGGCCAGTTGAGGGGGGGGCGGGGCGTCGCCGGCTCTTGGGCGGCGGCTCGGGCCCATTCCGGCCCGGCCCGGGCTGGTCGGCGGGGCCGCGGTTGCAGGGCGGGCTGCGCGCCCTTCTGGCCTTGACTTGCGGTCCACCAGCGGCGTTGCGGGCCTCCGGGCCGCGCGCCCGCCCATGGGCTGCGGGTCCGGCCGCCATGTGTAGATCTTAAAGCGCCTGTATTATTTTTGAAACGCTTTGACATCTCTGAAGGGCTTTGTATTGCAAACGAAATCGAAGCGCTTTGTATTCCCGGAAGCGCTTTGACATCTCTGAAGGAGAGCTATATAAACTGAAGCATGTGGTAATCGCGGAAACACGTTGTGGGCTTGGAAACCGAACCGAAGCCTTTGGTAAATCTTGCAGCGTTTTGACTTCTCCGAAAAGCTTTGGCATCTCAAACCTAGAGAACTGTGATGGGCAGTGGAAAGAAGGGGGAAAGGTCAGTAAAGCTGGTCCCTGGCTCTGACCTTAGGGCTTGACTTCGCCGGGCGGGCACCTGGATGGCGGGAGTCTGAGGAGGGGCAGGTAGGAGGGGTGGTGTTGTAATCCAGGTCCCCTCTCTACCTTGCAGGAGCTCATGGCGTCGGAGCGGCGCAAGGTCAAGTACCACTGGAGCAGCACTTCGGAAGGGTGTTCCCGCAAGCGCAGCTGCCTCAGGGAGACCAGTGATGTGGCCTCCTCCAGAAGGCCAGCTCGTAGTACTGCGTCGCGTTCTGGAGGGGCCAGCAGCCCCAAGCGCCTGAAAGCCCAGGAGGACGATGTGGCCTGCACACCGACGTTGTCCTGGGACTCATCCCGTCGCAGAAATTCCTCCTCATCTTCCTCCTCCCATTCCTCCGGCCCAGGTGTGGACGGGGCTGCCTCCAAAAGCTGCCTGATTCGGAGCACACGGGGTTTTCTTTCGTCCGAGGGATCGCCTCTGCGCCCTGCCAGCCCCTCTCTAGAAGAAATGGCTTCTCTAGAGGAGGAAACCTGTAGCCTTAAGGTAGGTGGCTGCAAGTCCTGGCAACCGATGAAGCCCCTTTCACGTGGCTTGCCATTTTGGGGATGGGAATTTTGGTGGAAGGAAACTAAAGATCTTGTTATTTGAGATCTCTGTGGTGTACTGCATTTGAGAACACCAAGCAAGCATTTGGCCAGGGAGGTGGCCGTAAAGTTCCCTAGAGAAGTAGTTTTCAAAGTTGGCGGCCCTTGAGAAGGACTTGGAAAGCTTTAAAATACTCCCTCCTGCCTCCCACCCTGATTTAATTGGGTTAGGGTGTGGTCTGGGCTTCCTCAAGTTATTGTAATGTGCGTCCTGGTTGGAGAAGGACTGCAGGAGAATGTGGATTGCTTGCTCTAGAGACACAGATGGATGTATGTATGTATGTATGTATGTATGTATGTATGTATTTTAGTTTTAAATTTGAGGATTTGTGTCCTTGTACTTTGAACCACTGAATCTCAACCAGGGAATAAGAATTTGGTTTTTGGTGTGGCTTTTCACTGAAGTTATGGTTTCTAGCACGTTGGATTTCTGGTTGGTGGGGCAGGGCTGGTTTTGCAGGTTAAACTCTTAGTTCCCCAGTGGGAACGCACGGGAGAGTTTCTGAATATTTGCAAGCGGACTAAGGAGCACTTCACAGACTAAGGAGTGGGAATACTCACTCAATTCATTTTACATTAACTTTTTATTTTTTTATTTTTAAACTTTTTTTTAAACTTGCCCAGCTTTTTTTTGTGTGTGCATGTGAGGCAAAGTTGAACATGAGTCTGTTGGAAATAGAAGCAAATAAAATTTAGTCTCTTGTTGTCTCCTGTTTCCCTGTTGAGTAGAGTGAGCACTAGCTAGTATCACCAGCCATACTGTGTAAACTTCATCCGCTTATTCAGTCAGGTTTTGAACAAACATTTGAGGTTCTGGTTTGTGTCAGGCAGTGTTCTAGTTGTTTGGGATTCTCCAGTAACAAAATAAAGATCATTGCCCTCTTAGAGTTTGCCATTTTAGGTTTTGAAGCTATGGACTTTTAAAAAAGGTGAGGAGGAGTTCTGCATGTGGAAGACTGGGGAAAAAAGCCTTTATTTGGGGAGGGGGAAAGATGGGCTGTCCCTAGAGAAAAGTTACTTTACAAAAGCTTTAAAAACAAGGCCCCAAGGAAAGTGGGTTTGTCTTTAAGTCTGCTTAGTGGTTTCTTTTGTGGAACCAAGAAATGAGGCTGGCTTTGGCAGTCTATCCTGGGAAACTCTTGGGCTAACTGCCCCAGGTCAGGTGTTTTCAGTGTCTACGTCAGAACTCTTGTATGGGCACGTGAATTTTTAAAAAATTTAATGGTGAACTGAAAACCTTTGTCTTTGGCATAAGAATATTTACTGAACACAATGCACATAAATAAGGTGAATGTGGGGCTTTGCTCATAAATTTAATCTTGTCACTAATCCTTGATGTAATTTCAGTGGATTTGGGTACAGCATAAAATATTGATTAAATTTAACTTATTTGGCAGTTACAGGTAGAGTGAAGCCTAGTGTTGGGGGGAGGGGGGAGTGTTTAGAAAAATTAACCCTGCTTAGTTTTTGAGATGTGCTGCATCCCTGTTGAGGCTGTCCTGCAGATTGGGAACTCAAGATTTAGAGTGTGGCCTCTGAGCCAGGTGGGTCTAATCTTCCCAGGCACCCACCTTTCTCTCATTTAGCCCTAAGCGACCTTGTTTTGCCAAAATCAATTTATTGGTTAACCATGGAGCAGTGAAGTCTGGGCCTGTTTCTTTGGGTTTACTAGTGCCTTGCTTTTGGTCAATAAGCATTTGAGGGCAATTGTGTGCTAGTTACTCTGTTGGGTCTTGAAGCGATGAGGTGGCTTCTGAGGAGTACGCAGTCTGTTGGGAGGGTTGGCCAAGTCACGAGACTGCCTCACAATGTGGCAAGGTGGAGCAAAGAGTCCGGAATGGAGGCTGGAGAGTTAGGTAGGGGGCAGATTGCTGCAGGGTTTTATTGTCAAGGGAACTTAGTTTGTAGAGGACTCTCTACAGAGGAAAGGCAGATTTGCATTTTTGAAAGATCCATCTCTAGCACTGCCAAGGGCTCTCCCTAGAGTGTGTTAGTTTGGAAGCAAGATGTACAGTTCCCCACTCATTTTGATGAGTTACAGTATGCTTCTCTTACCTTCCCCTCAATCTGTACCTCTTCCTCCCTTTCTGTGCAGCCATGTGTGAACTTGTCTCTTTAAGTTCTGTCAGCAAGCACAGCTGAGGGGCATTTATAAAAAATGGCATGCTTCCCCCCCGGGTCCTTCCAAGGGCCCCATAGCACTCTTCTACCTTCTACTCGCACATCATCTGCTCTCCTGTGTTTGCTCTGACCTTTGGGGGCTACACTTGGCTTTGTGTGTGGTGCCCCTTACCCCGCTTCCTGCTGCCTTAGCACAAGAGTCTCAATGCCAGGTTCTAGAATATTCAGGGAGAAGATGTTTGTTATGGCCTGTTTTGGCTGCTGTAACAAAATACCACAGATTGGGTAGCTTATAAACAACTGACAGTTCTGGAGACTGGAAGTCTGAGGTCAGAGTGCCAGCATGGGCAGGTGATGGCTCTCTTTAGGTTGCAGACTTTTCACTGTGTCCTCACATGGCAGAAGGGGTCATGAGAGCTCTCTTGGGGACTCTTTTATAAGAACACTAATCTCATTTCTAAGGTCTCCACTTTCATAATCTAATCACTTTCTAAAGGCTCCACCTAGTCCCATCACCTCGGGGTCAGATTTCAACATATAAATTTGAGGGGAACTTACTCAGACCATAGCTAGACTGGGATATTTTGGAATCACTAGAGATTCTTGCTGGCCAGCCTCACATTGTTTTTTCCTTATCACCTCTAGGACAATTGTTTGAGAAGTTCTCTCAAATTCTGATGGTGGCTGATGATCTTTCTTTATAGAGAAAGTTAAATGTGTCTGTTATGAACACCTTCACCTACCTTGTATTTAGTCCTATGTAAAGTTTTATATTCAATATAGGGAAAGAGGAGTATAAAGGAACATTTGAGCCTTTATAATGTAATAGACCTTGATCAAATATAATTCTCAGTGTTTGACTATCATATAACCCTCAGAGTTTTGTGAAGTAGGTAGTATTATCTTTACTACTGGTTTACTTTGAGCACCTACTCCGTGTAGACACTGGGAAAAGGAGCCCAGAAAGGTTAAATAACTTAGACCAAGGCCATATAGCTTGTATGCAGCAGAGCTGTGGTGTGATACCAGATCAGTCTGACTTTAAAGGCAGAGTTTTTTCCACTACTGCCCTCTGGAGCACCTGTTCTGTTCTGGCCCAGCATTAGATGCGAGGGATGAGATGAAGAGGGCAGTATCTTTCCCTGAGGAGCTCTCTGCATGGCGACACAGCCCAGACACAAGAAACCATTGTGTATCTCAGTTTCTGAAGGCTAGAGCTTTCACGTGTGATCCCATTTCCTGCATGTTCCCTCAGCAGATGACCACTGCTTGGGTGGAAGTCTGTTTTAGAGGCTAGATGTGCAAAGAATGAAGAGTGATGGACAGACTGAAAAATCCTTCATCACAGTGCAGTGCATGGAGTGTTGTAACATCAGTATTTGAAGTACCAAGGGTCAGAGGAATGAGTAACAAACCGCAGGGAAAGGGCTCACAGAAGAGGTATCATTTGAGTTTTGGTGAACAAGGAGGAGGAAAGGACATTTCAGGCAACGGGAACAATGTATGTCCAAAAAGGGTCAGAAAATACTGCTGGTCTGAAGCTCTTGGGACACTACTGGTTCTTATGGGTCCTTCTTCCCCCCCTTCTCCAGCACCTTTCATCATTCCCTGGATATCTGGGTGTATGGAGAAAGCTGGGAGATGATGCTGGAAAGGAAAGTTGGAGGCACCCTGGGAAAGGCTTCCAAGGTCATGTTCAGGAGTTTGGGATGTATTCTGCAGGCAAATGCAGAGCCATTGAAGGGTTTTAAGTGGAGGCATGACATTGCCAGATTTTAGAACTCCTGGCTCATTGTAGGGAAACGAAGGGAGGGAGAAGGCAGAGAGCTTGTTAGGAACTGTTGAAATTGTTCAGGCTGGAGGTGATGGTAGCTAGAATGGCCTCTCCACTTGATCTTTCCCTCCTGCCTGCCTTCAGAGATGCACAATTCACCAAGCAGTCCTGCCTGGAAAAACTAAACCTCTCCTTTTCAAAGCCAAGTGGTTTGTCCGCTCTTGTACTTTCTGCTTAATCTTTACTTTTATAGCCTCCTATTTGTTGTTGAAACTCTTCAACAATCTTAGGTCCTCATGGTCTCTGACATCTCAGCCTTTGATACTGTTTCTCAACTTTCATATTTTCCCTACTCTCCCTTAGTTTTCAGGATATTAGGGGGAACTTGAATTTGAATCCTGGTTCTGCTACTGAACAATCCATGTAGCAGTGTCCCTTTCTGTAAAGAGGGGTGACACCTGTGGCAGCTCTGAATTGTAAATCCATAGGAAAATGAGGTATGTTGTTCTATTCCTCTTTTTTTTATTTTTTTAACTCCCACAAGTACAGTCCTGGTCTTCCCTATCAGGATTTGCAACTGGGCCATAGCCTGAATGTGACCTACTAGGCCCTCACAGTATTTAGTTTTGGAAAGCTCACATTAAAAATACATACCCCTAGTCCAAATCTCTGCCTTGAACTCTAGGTTTGGTTGGCCTACTCCCATTCCCACTTTCTGCTCCCTTTTCTGTTTTATTTTTTTCCCTGGCCCTTTTCACTCTCTAAAATTTATACTGTTTTTTCCCTCACAGCTGGGGTGTTTGGAATGCATTACTTTGGGGATGGTTCTTGGGGAGGACTTATGGAGCATTCTTACACCAGCTGGGATTAGACTGGATCTGAGTTTCACAGCAAATTAATATTGTGAGCAAATAATCTAGCTTCTTTCCTGTAGATCCCTGGAATGGCTGTATGTGGAGGTGAAAAGAAAGGGGCTGAGACTTTATCTGTATCTCTGAGGAGATTTGGCAGGGAGGGGGTAGATCTCTTGATTGACCCTGAAAACCAAGGTACCTTCAGACATTAAGGTTTTGATTTAGGGGAAGAAGTTTGCTGAGAACTTCAAAGGAGGCTCGGGGTATAGTGCTAAGCACCTTGCCCTTAAGAGTCAGATGATTGGCACGCACTCCTCACAATGCCCTTGGGTTTCCTTGACTCCTAGCTGTGGGATTGGGTTAGCTGGTTTCTTGGGAGCTTTCTAGTACTAAGAAGTTGAGCTTCTATTTTGCCTCTGTGTGTGTGTTCTGAAGGACGTAGTAGTCCTTGTCCTCAAGGAGCTTGCAGTGTAGTATTAGTAGACTGTTGCTCTCTCAGCTCATTCCTTCCTACTGCAGTATGACGATATTATCTGATAAGTGTGAGAAAGTGAAGATTAAGAAACAGCAGTTCCATTCTTTTTACAGGGGGTAGGATGGGAAACATCACTTGGAGAGAATCTTTGTCTATCTTAACAACTGTCACTTTGCCTTTGATTTGTGGAGCCCCCACTGGTTTTTAATGTGCTGAGTGCTTCATGTATGAAATCACCCTTTCTTGATCTCTGTTTTTTCTTCCAGGTTAATTCCAAAGATGGTTCTCTTAATTCCACAAACTCTGAGTTTGCAGCTGAAGCTGAGGGGCAAAATGATACAATTGAGGACCCAAACAAGGTTCAGAAAAGGAAGAAGGATAGACTTCGAGACCAAGGCTCTACAATGATCTACCTGAAGGCTATCCAGGGCATCCTGGGAAAGTCGATGCCAAAAAGAAAGGGAGAGACTGTCAGTAGGGCAAAACCGAACACAGGAGAGCGTCCCAGCCGTGGAGAAGGACCAGCCAGGAGTGTCACTGTGTCTGCTCCTCAAAAAGAGAAAGAGTCAGCCCCAGAAGTCAGAGTGAAAGATGAAAAAAAGGCTGTGCTGGAGAGGAGCAGCTTCTGTGACAGGAGAGTGGTGGTAGACCCTCTGGAGAAACCCAGTGAGGAGCCACTTGGTGACCGAAGGACAGTTATTGACAAGCGCTCTCCACCCCTAGAATTTTTGGATGACTCTGACTCTCATGTAGAAAGCCAAAAGGTGAGTCTTGCCCACAGTTCTCTTGATTAGATGTAGTATTTGGTCTGTCTAGTTTGATCCTAAGTGTTACTCATTAAAGCAGTACTTACTCCGGATTCCAGGCAACAAACTGATGGTTCTCTTTTAACATACATTTCAGTTAATTAAGAAACCTCAATTTAGTGCTATCTTTTTTTATTTTTTTATTTTATTTTTTTTTAGAATTTATGTTTATTAGAATATGGATTTTCCCACTGTACAAAGGCCAAAATAACAGTGTCTTAAAGAAAATAGAAGTTTGGCACCCTGGCTGGTGTGACTCAGTGGACTGAGTGCTGGCCTGCAAATCGAAAGGTTGCCACTTTGATTCCCAGTGAGGGCATATGCGTGGGCTGTGGGCCAGGTCCCCAGTTGGGGGCGTGTGAGCAAGGCAACTGATCAATACATCAGTGTTTCTCTCCCTCTCTTTCTCCTTCCCTTTCCCCTTCTCTCTCCCTTTCCCTTTCTCTAAAAATAAATAGAGTCTTAAGAAAGAGAGAGGGAGGAGGAGGGAGGGAGAGAGAGAGAGAGAGAAGGAAAGAAGGAAGGAAGGAAAGAAAAGGAAAGAAGGAAAGAAAGACAGAGAGAGAGAGAGAGAGAGAGAGAGAGAGAGAGAGAGAGAGAGAGAAAGTAAGTTTGGCTTGAGGAGAATGGTTCCCCCCTGGTGCCTTCTGTTTTGATGCTTTGCTGCCCTTCAACACAGTTTTCCATCTCGTGGTCTGAAGTGGTTACTCCGATGGGATTCAGAGTACATTACATTGACCAGTTCAGCCAGTAGGAAGGGGAGAAGAGAAGAATAAAGTACACTTCCTCCCTTTCATCTGCATGGTATCTGCTCATATCAATTGACAAGAATCTAAAAACCTGGCGAAATCTTGCTGCAAAAGAGTCTGGAAAACTAACTTCCGTCTGGGCAGACTTACACCCAGAAAAACTTCTATTGCTATTAAGAGAGTGATATTGGAGGGAAACTGGTAATTTTTAACATAGGTTGTAATTGCAGGAAAAAAAATCATTCCTTTGTTCACCCATCTATGCCTGTCCTTTGTTACCGCTCCTCAGAGGCAGCACCTTTCATCTCTTTGAGCTCGCTCTTTTAGTACTTAACTCCATATTTCTAAGTAATTTTATAGTTGAATGAGTTTTCAACTGGACATCTGTGGACTTTGGTACTCAGGAAGATGAGAATTTAGTTCTCTACACACACTTACTTCAGTGGTACTCATACCCATAACATATTTCCTCCCCTTCCTGTAACTCCTGGTGTTGTGATACAATTTTTGGCTAAATCTATTTAAGATTCATCATCACCATGTTCATAGCTAGGTCACTTGGTATACTCTGATTATATTTCCTTTCTTGTAAAAGTTTATTTCCTTGGAGGTCATCATTACGTTGTTTTTTCCTTTAGTTTTCTCTGTACATATCACTGATTCATCCCCAAACTGCTAGTGCCATAAAATTCTTTTCAGTAGTTTCAAAATAAATAATCTGTCCTGTTTTTGTCCTTTGAGGTGTGCCTCCCTTAATTGTTTCCTTAGGATCCCCCCCGCCCTTTTTTCATCTGTTTTCTCTATGAGTATTTAAGGTGAGTGTATATAATGATAATGCATGCTTTTTTCCCCCTTTTTGACATAATTTCCAAGAACACTGGTTTAGTTTTTTTAATATTCCTTTCTTAAAACATCTTGTTCTTGTTTTGAGGTTATAATTTTCTCTTGTCTCTCCGAGACTATTAATTATAGGTTTCTTTTGACCCCTTATTCTGCTTTCTGCACTACTTTTTCTCTGAGTTTCCCCCTTTTCCCCCCCTTTTTTCCTAAATATTTTGATTTCTATCTTTTGTGGTAGGCCTTTTCTCAGATGTCTTGGCTATCTGTTCATATATAAAGATGAAGCATTAAAAAACCAGTTGGAAGTTCTGAGCTTATCAACTCGTGACTTCATCGTATGGTGAAGACTTTGGGTCATTTTGTGGCTCCCAGTTGGCTCTGTATCTTGGTCCTCAGAGGCATCTCAGTGTCCCTGGGAGAAGTCCTCCACTCCTCTGCCTAGGACGCACACATCTGGCTGCTGGTGTTCTGGGAGTCAGTTTGAGGAAGGTGCCTGGGTTCTCAACTGTCCAATGTGTGATGGTCCCTTCACTTGATTGTGTGTCTGTTGTCCCTGATTATTCCACAGTCTCCTTGGTTCAACTCTCTAAGCATGAACTTTCATCTTGGGTGGGGAAAGGACAGACCCATTTGCACAGGATGGGAGAAGGGAGCTGGGGATTTAAGCTTCATGACTACCAGCTCATTCTCCTAGGGTTGTCATTTGCAAGCTCACCTTCATTTTGAGAGGTCCGGTGCCTTCAGTTCCTGAGTCTGTTTGGGGTCCTGTGGTGTGAGTCAGCCTGTTTCTGGGGTTTTTTTCACTGAAATCTTTGGTGTGGAACATCTGTGATCTCCTTATCCAATAATTACTCATCTTTCTGCTTTTGAGCATCTAATTTTTATTTAATTTGCTTTGTTGTTTATTCTGTATGTTTTCTCTTTATAGGTTTATGCCTTTTCAAGTCCATTTTCTATCATTTTCAAAGGGTTTGCAGGAAGGAGAAAAACCACATATTTAATTTGTTTATATTTAACAAAAAATATTTGCTATATTTAATTTGAAATCCTAGGCATAGTAAAGATTCCTCTCAAATGTAGGTCATCACTTTGGCTGCCTGGAATTATATTGTATGGATGACTTTTCCAAACTTATATACCCAAACTCATATTTGTCAGACGGGACATTTAGATTACCTCTGTTAGGAGTACATTTGGAGGCAGCATGATATGTAGGTAAGCACACGAGTGTTGGGGTCAGACAAACAGGGTTCAAATTCTGGCTCTGCCACCTGAATCATGATCATGAGAAAGTCATTTAACCTCTTTGAGCCCCAGTTTCTTCCTTGAGGTAAAAAGGCATGGTTAAATGTTACCACTCCTAAGCAAACTAGTACAGGATATAGCAAATGGTTTCTGTAAAGGCCAGATAATAATAAATATATTTGGCTTTGTGGGCAAAATGACCTCTGTAACTATTCAACTCTGTTGTAATAGCATGAAAGCAGCCATATTTAAGTGAATGACCTTTGTTGCAATAAATCTATTTACACTGAAAGGCAGTGCATTGGATTTGACTGTGGGCCATAGTTTGCTGAACCCTGAATTAACACCTGAAAACACTTTGCTTAGTGCTAGTGTATAGTAGGCCCTCAATAATGTAACTTTAAGTTTTACCATCTGGAGCCCTGGCTGGTGTGGCTCAGTGGATTGAGTACTGGCCTACAAACTGAAAGGCCACTGGTTCGATTCCCAGTCAGGGCATATGCTGGGGTTGTGGGCCAGGTTCTCAGTTGGGGGCACACAAGATCTGGCAACTGATGATATACCTCCTGCACATTGCTGTTTCTCTCCCATTCTTTATCCAAACGTAAATAAATAAAATCTTTAAAAAAACCCCTATTTTTCAAAAGCCCCCTTAGTGAAGCTAAGTTCAGGAATCATTGCACCATTTATTCTATGTAGTAATTCAACAAATATTTATGAGCACTCACTATATGCCAGGTAGTATTCTAGCTGTTCAGAAAATACCAGTGAAGAAAATAAAAATGCCTGACCTTGTGGAACGTAGATTCTAATTCTAGCACTACTAACTTGATTTAATGCAATGTATAGTTTTTCCGGTTACTATGGCACTTAGAGATGTAAAATAACCATTTTGTTTTGCTTTCGATTTTGTGAGTTAGGAATTCATAAAGATCTGGACTGGGGAGATCCACATAAGAGTGGGGGTCTCTAATGTGGTTTCATTCAGATGTTTGGAGGGCTGCAGCCTGAAAGCTCAACAAGGCTGTACACGTCTTAAGATGTTCACTCACACGTAGGGCAGTTGATGCTGACACCTACATGTGACCCCTCTAGCATGTGGTCTTCGGTGGTATGATTTCTTATATGGTGATTGGCTTCCTCCAGAGGAGCAAGCTGGGAGAATCAGGGTAAGCTTCAAGGCTATGTTTTGACCTAGGCTTGGAAGTTGTGCAGTTTCACTACTGCATTCTGTTGATTGCAGGTAAGTCACTGGTTTGGTCCAGGTTAAATAGGAGCATTCACAAACCCCATCTTTCAATGGGGAGTAGTGTCAGAATTGTGGACATATCTTAAAACTGCCACAACTGTGTAGTTTTGCATTTTGAATGTTACTAGAAATGTATTAGATGTATGAGATACCTGGCACTGCTTTTCTCTAGAATCTGCAAAACAGAGCAGTTTTCTCAAGAGGGATAGTTCAGAGAGAGGGAGGGTGTGCAGGTGTAGCATCCCCTTCAGGGATGGCATTATGAGTTTATCCCCTGAGCCTGATTTGACTGTTCATAGGTGTAACCTGGCTCACTTTCCGGAAATTATAAGGAAAGAAGGTGACAGTGAGCTAATAAGTCAGTGCAAAGCCTTCCTTCACCATAGCCGAAAAACAAGCCAGAGTTTATGTTCTCCAGATGACAGATTATGGGAGGCTGTCTTCACACAGGAAGGCCAGGAAGGCTAATGCTTTGTTGTTTCTTTTCTGCAGCCTAAAGAGAGGGAGGTGGTGATAGAGCACGCCTCTTCAGGAAGTGACTGGTCCGACGTGGATGAGGTCTCCACAGTCAGATTCTCTCAGGAGGAGCCTATTTCACTGAAACTCTCAGCAACCTCAGAGCCTTCTGCCTTCCCCACTGACTATGTCATGTACCCAGCTCATTTATACAGTAGTCCTTGGTGTGACTACGTCAGCTATTGGACCAGCAGTACCAAGCCTTCTAGCTACCCCTCAGTGGGCAGCAGCAGCAGTGACACATTGCAGGCTGGGAGGAGCAGCCGGGGCCTCCTGAGTGATTATTCCCCCAACTCTACTGTGAGCTCCCAAAACACCTCCAGAGATCTGGAGGCGACAGAGGAAGGCAGATCCCAGAATTCTCGCTCATTTCGTTTCTCCAGAAGCTTAGAAGAGAAGGTGAAGGAGAAAAGAACATTCCAGGAGGAGATGCCACCACGTTCTTGTGAAGGACATGCATCTAGCTCTCTGCCAAGGAGCCATCGGGAGCAAAACCTAGAAGAGGGCTTCATTGATACCCATTGTCACTTGGACATGCTCTATTCCAAGTTGTCTTTCAAAGGGACCTTTAGCAAGTTTAGAAAAATTTATAGCAGCTCTTTCCCTAAGGAATTTCAGGGCTGCATCTCTGACTTCTGTGATCCCAGGACGCTGACAGACTGCCTGTGGGAGGAGCTGTTGAAAGAGGATCTGGTTTGGGGGGCCTTTGGCTGTCACCCTCATTTTGCTCGTTACTACAGTGAGAGCCAAGAAAGAAATCTTTTACAAGCCTTAAGGCATCCCAAGGCTGTGGCATTTGGGGAAATGGGCTTGGATTACTCCTACAAATGTACGACACCTGTTCCAGAACAGCACAAGGTAATGAGGTTCCCTTTAGGTTGCTTACAGATTTTTTTTTAGGGTTCTTGTTTTATTAATCTCATGAAAAATCTGCACAATCACCACAGATAAAGTCACTGAAGAATCATTACTCCTTTTGCCAGCACCAACATTGGTCTTTGCAGTCCCCCTGACTTTCTTCATTCATTCTTGCATTCATTTTTGTTTTCTTGAGGTCGTCTTCTCATGTAGGCCATGTCTTACGGGTCTAGTGTGGGTTCATTTTTCTTTGCATAATCCAAGAAATCATAAATTATACTAAAGCCACTTGTCTTGCCACCACTGAAATGGATTCTGAATACCAACACAAATATGACATCTGGTGTGGTCATATATTTTGGTTAGTTTTTCCCCAATTTCTGTTTTCAGTAATGTTGCCTTCCCGGGGTGAAGGACGTCAGTGACTATTTGTTTCTACTAAAGTAGTCTTTTGGGCATGAATTTCCTTGTCCAGAGAGTAAACTATGTTGTTCATGAGGGCGACCCATTTGCTCAGTTTTAATTTCTCTCTTAGTTTTTGAAATGTAACTTTTGGGGGGGAGGGTCTCTACTTTTGGAAGTAAAGAATTTAGAAATCCTAAAAATTTAATTGTTCTTACCCAAACCATCTAGATGTCATTTTTCAAATTCCTTTTTTTTTTTTTAAGGATTTCATTTATTTATTTTTAGAGAAGGGGAAAGGAGGGAGAAAGAGAGGGAGAGAAACATGTGACATGTGAGAGATACATCAGTTGGTTGCCTCTTGCATACCACCAGCTGGGGACCTGTCCACCCCAGGCATGTGCCGTGACTAGGAATCGAATCAGCGACCTTTCGGTTTGCAGGCCAGCACTTAGTCCATTGAGCCACTCCAGCAAGGGTTCAAATTCTTCACAAGCTAGTTCTTCTAGTTTTTTTATGTAGACAGGTGGTTAAGGGACAGGTACTTCGTGACTTCTTATGGCTAATGATACGTGTTAGGGACACCTGTTTAGGGAAATAACAAATTTTGTTTAATTATTTTTATTCTGATTTTTAACATTAAGTATACCCATTGTAGACTATTTGGAAAATGCAAAACTGTGTAAAGAGGATAATTTCCCATTTCACTAGAGATAACAACTGTTGCCATCTTAATATTTTTCCCTCCCAATGTCTTTTGAGCATGGAGATTTGGCAGGGTATGAGTAGTTAGAGCATTTCAGTGGAAGTTTCTGATTTAGGAAGGAGCAGGACAAGGAGAAAGACCTGTCCACTTATCACTGTGCATGTTCCCAGGTTGAATTTGCTGTATGCTGTTGTCCTGATGCGTTAGGTTTGGGTTTCGATCCCCAATGTGCTCAGGTGTTGGTGGGCCTGTGTCAATTGCAGCAGGGCAGAATTTGGCACCAGCTTTCCCTCTGGTGCTGTTTCCAGCCCAGGTGGGTCAGCCTCAATCAGCCATGCACTGATGCTATAACCCATTGACCCTGGCATCTGTGGTTCATTGTGTGAATCAAGAGAAGGAATCTTTCAGTGGTTTCTTAATTTTCTTTTGATCAAAGAGAAAATTCAAGGAAGGTATGGTGCCCTGCTTTATCAGAAGATTAGACTTCTATATACCTTTAGGAGATAGAGATTCCAATTTAAGTACAGTTGTCCATGTCAGCCAATACTCATGCTAGTCTTAACAGTGAATTTCTGTGGGAAACAACTTCAGATGTTCAGATGTTTCCAAAGGGTTTTCTTTTAGATGAATTTGCTAGGACCTGGTTATGGTTACTAAATTCCAAACAGATGATTTTGACTTGAGGATGTACATTCAGACAGGTGGGTGAGACTTTGTGTGGAATGGTTTCAGTTTCTGACCTGAAGGGGTTTCTAGTATAGTGTTTCAATTCACAGTTAGGTTTGGGGGAAAAATCAGTAGTTACCCTGCCTTTCCAGAGTTCCTTTTCTTTACTGACACTAGGTACCTTACAATTTCTGTCTTGAGGCTATAATTTATTAGCCAGAAATGAATGGAAAAATAGCTAAACCTGAAGACATAGGAAAAAATAGATTTTTTAAGAAAGTGAGACAAATATTTAATATTCAGCTTTCCCAGCTGGCTTCTATGACACAGGGCAGGTGTGATATGGAAAGAGGAACAGTTCAAAAACGTATACACTAAAGCAACTAGAGATATTTATATTGTATAGCTGATGTTTATTAAATGCGTACTCTGTGCCAGGAAGTGTGATAAGTATTTCACAGTAACTTTTCCTTCTATTAAATCATCACGGTATCAGATCTGCATGTAGAGGTACATATGGCATGCCGACTGAACTTGAAGTTATAGCATAGGGTGATAAATAAAATCATTTGGCTTGATGAGATGAGATTCAAGACTGAGAAGTAGTGATTCAGAGGAAATAAATTGCTGGCAGGGGGAGGGCTGAACTGTATAGAAAAGAGGAAGACAAGGAATTTCTGTAGAACACTAGAGGAAGTAGATGCCGTGTTCTCAGTGTAAATCTTAACTTGGGCACCAAAACAGGTGGTGACTAGCCACTGCCCTAGTTGGATATTGGCATTGAGTTGCATTTGCCTAAAAGCAGAGTGGTTGGCAAGTTCGTAGTGTGTCCTGCTGAATATTTTATCTCTGAAGGTAATAAGAAAAGTCTGGAAGGACCATATCTGGTCAAGAAAGAGGGTACTACCTCTAGTTCATTATAAGAGAGAGCTTTGTTTCTGTTTTTTCTGGAAGGCTTGGAAAATAGAGACAAGCAAAAGAATTTGGGAAAAATCAGTAGTTATCCTGCTGTCCAGAACAAATCACTGTTAACTTTTCATAGATTTAACTATTTATCTTTCTCTTAAATTCCTAAGAGTTAGGTCCTGGATGATTTGTGTGTGAGTTGTACATATCAGCCAGTATGATTATCAGAATCACTAGGTTTCTGGAGTTGGAAAGCCAGGGCGAATGAATAAATAGACTGTCTCTCCCTACTTGGGCCGGGCCGGCTGAACCAGGCTGCTTCTGTCTGTATTTGTGTTTGACTGGAATCAATCATTGAGGTAATGAGTATGCAAGAGCCGCAGGGCGGCCACCCCCAGGAGAGACTGATGAACTCTAGAATCCCTGGGAATAATGGATCGGTGGGAACCTGAGTTTATGCAGGCAGAAGAGAGTAATTATGCTGGGTAAATAATTTATGTGCACTTCATTCACTCCTGTTGTCTTTTTTCAGCCAAGTTCCTGGTGAGTATAAATGCTCTAGAGAGCTCCAGCCCAGCCACAAGTTCCTGCCCACTAACTCCTTTTATCTTAACATTTTTGAAATTCAGCTGTTCTACAAAACAGTGTATTTGTAATGTCATTGTCCCTTGGAAAATTGCAAGGGAAAATTGGTGGCATGTCTTACAAGCACAGAATCAAGGAAATATGTGTTGTATGTATATGTTTTTAAAGAAAGAAATTAGGAAATTAAAAAAAATTGTTTTGAATGATTTTTTTCACTTGTGAACATGTTCATGTTTCATTAAATATATTTTGAAAAATACACTTTTTACAAGCTGGGCTATATTCCACCCAAAAGCTATATTAATTTAACTGCTCTAAGGAGTAATTTTTGGGGGAGCGGGAATTAAACGTTAGACTTACGATCCTTTGCAACCTTCTGCCTCTGTAGGGGTTCAAAGAGAGAAGATGTGTTGGGGAAGGGATCCAGTCAGCTGTAGATATTGGAACTAGCCAGTCTTCAAAGCCCTTACCGAGCATTCTGTGATTTTGGTTCTTATGAGCGTTTTCTTTTAGTTGGAAACAAACAGGTTAAATAAGAGTTATGTCAGAATTGGTATTGGCTCAGTGCTTCTATTATGAGAATAGGAAGCACCAACTGTTAGACTTGAACATGTCATTCTCAGGTGAGTATCACCTGACTCAAATTACCAAAAGCATCTTCTTATTTGATGTAAAAAAATGCAAAAGGAATTCTATTCCTCAATTGAAAAAACTGCTTATGGAAACAGTAAGTTTAAGATGAGGCAATTTAGTTATAATGAATTAAAACTTTTGTTCTTTGTTCTAAACCTGAGCTTTTTGAGGAAAAAATAAGTTTTAGCTCTACTTTTTTCATTTAAATCATTAACATGCTTATTTTACTAATGAAGATTTAAAAATGACTAGAGTTCAAAAAAAAAAAAAGAATGTAACATATCTGTTGGTATTCACCTTGAAGAATATCTGATTTTGGCTGAGTAAAGAAAATATAAATATGTATAATATTTATCTGAAAGCCAGGCATTGTGTGTGCACGTGTGTGTGCATGTATATGCGTGTGTAGGAAAAGCTGTGGGAGGTGATTGCCTCTTGGGAGTAGATGTGGGGACGAGGGGGAGGACATTTAGCTTGTACTTTCTGTTCCTGAGCCCCACTTTACCCCTGCAACCCCAAATAAGCATTGCACAGTGGTTGCTGTGTGGATGCCTGCATTCACATTTGAATGGTGGCACTATAGCTTCTCAGCTGCAAGTTACTTGACCTCACTTGGAGCCTCAGTTTCTTCAAATACCTCAAGGTGCTTGTGAGGGTTATAGGTTATAGTGTCCCTAAAGCACTTTGAGCACTACCTGGCTCTTTAGTGAGACCCAGTAAACCTTGTCTATTACTGTACTTACAGAGTATAGTTTAAAAATACGGAGTTGGAGACAGTGGGACTGCCTGTTGGACTGGGTGTTCTGGAGGTAACAGACGTCTGAAGTGGCCCTAACCTGCACGTGTTGTCACTTTGTCTTCTCCCAGGTATTTGAGAGACAGCTACAGTTGGCCGTGTCTCTAAAGAAGCCCTTGGTGATTCACTGCCGAGAAGCTGATGAAGATCTGCTGAGCATCATGAAAAAATTTGTGCCCTCAGACTACAAGATCCATAGGTTAGGCGGGAGCTTCGAGTGGGCAAATGAAATGAATCTTTCCCTCTGTCTAGGATGTTAGTTGGAGAAACAAAAACTCAGTAGGGGAGCATGGGTAGTACTGTCTTTTATGTAATATCTTTTCTAAAGATTATTAGGTTAAACCATGTGAAATTTCTGATATTTAACCATTTTTTACTTAGAAAACTGGAACTTTATATGGTTTGAGCTAATACCCTGAATCATCAATGAGCAGTAGGGACTTTCATGACCTCCGTCCCAGGTGGCAGGCTAAAATGGAGTCTCGGTTCTCAGAAATGAGGACTATTGATCTTGGAAGAGGCTGCTGTGGAGTCCAGTGACTTAGCACACAGAAAATTTCAGAGCACCTGAAAAATTTCCTTTTCCTTTTTTGAATGTGAAAAGTTATCAAAGTGTAGGATATGTTTTATCTGAATGGTATCTAGGGGTTCTTAGGTTCAGTTTGACAAATTCTCTGATCTCTTACCATGTACCTGTCCTGGGTGTTGGCTCAGTGGTGGGGGACAGGTGAGTCAGCTGGTGACTGCTGTAGAGAGTGGGAGGCTGAGATGGGTAAGGCGCTGTGAGAGCCAGGGAGGGTCCGTTAGCTAAATGGCTAGCAAGGGGTCAGGAGGTGATGTCTGGGCTGGCTCTTTCAGGATAGGTGAGATGGGGTAACAGAAAAACAGGGAGTCTAGAACCCAGACCAGGCCTTGACAGGTGGCAGAAGTGGATGGGCCTGTCAGGCCTCTAGGCTCTGCCTTTCAGATGCCCGAGCAGAGAGTGAAGCCTGTGACCCCTGACTGTGCTCACATGCCACGGCCTTTCTGGGTGGGTGGGTTGGTTTTTCACTGCTTCATTCTGGGCTGGCTTGAAAGGAATTCTGATGGGAGGTGGTAGGTAGATGGGGGCTAAAATGGCCCAACAAGGTGCTGTGGCTGGAGGAAGCCCTGCATTTCCAGATTGGTTTATGTACATAAAAAATTAAGAACATGAATAGCTATGAAGTTAAGAGAAGAAAAATCCATAGTCTCCTCAGTATTTTCTTTTTTTATTTTTGTTTATTCTATTATAGTTGTCCCAATTTTCCCCCCTTTACCTGCATTCATCCAGCCTGCTCACTTCTCAGTATTTTTATTTTTTGTTTTCTTTGAATCATTTGACTACATGGCCATAATTTCTATCTGCTGTAGTTGTAATCTTAGCGAGGCCACAATTTTAAATTCTGCTTCTTTTTCCCTGTTATAAACATACCCAGTCCCTGTATTGTTGCTGTATGTTCAGTCTTCCTGGTGATTATTTCAAGTGGCTGTGTAGTAATCTGTGGTGTCATGGGTTGATGGGTGAACACTGCTCACCAGGAGTCATCTTGGATCTTACTGAGTTGGAGCCAGCTTTTGTCTGTGTTTACTGTGGAGTCCTTCCTTTGGAAGCAGTCTTTCCATTTCTGCAAATTTATCCACAGAAAATAATTTATAAGGGCTAATATGTCTAGAGGGAGCTGGGGGGCTGCTGCAGGGGGTACTGTGAGAGAGTGCTGACCTGGAGTTCTCCTCCCAGGCATTGCTTCACTGGCAGCTACCCGGTCATCGAGCCCCTGTTGAAGTACTTTCCCAACATGTCTGTGGGCTTCACGGCAGTCCTGACTTACTCCTCTGCGTGGGAGGCCCGGGAAGCTCTGAAACAGATCCCGCTGGAGAGAATCATCGTGGAAACTGATGCCCCATACTTTTTGCCTCGACAGGTAGGGGTGTCTTCGGGCTGAATTGAGGCACTGAGGAGAGAGGGTGGGAAGGTTGTCAAGGCCAGAGCCCCAGTGATTTCCAGGTCCCACCCTTGGCTGTATAGATGTCTCCTTGTATTGCTCTGCAGAACCAAAAGTCTAGGGGGCTGAGAAGCTGAAGGGTAACCACTCTCTTCCAGGCAGTGCAAAGCCCTACCCTGTAGAGGGTAGTCCAAGGAAGCGTGGGACCCTGCTCACCCAGAGCCCCCCATGACTAGGACTCTCCCTGCACCTGCAGGTAAAGGGGTCTCTACAGGGCAGCCCCAAAGAGGTCCTTACTGGGGAAGGGCCGGGGAGGGAGTTCTGTGTAATGACTGTGCACAGAAGGCACAGCGATGTTCTGAATGCTTCATATCTTTCAGGTTCCCAAAAGCCTTTGCCAGTATGCCCACCCAGGCCTGGCCTTGCATACAGTTCGAGAGATTGCCAGGGTCAAAGATCAGCCGCTCTCCCGCACCTTGGCTACCTTGCGTGAGAACACCAGTCGCCTCTACAGTCTTTAAGCAGAGGGTGCAGGAGTCTCCTATAAAAGGTCACAAAATTCACATTTATGTTTTTTAAAAGTCAGGACAAAGTTGTCTTGCTGCATTTAATAATGTAGAGAGTATAAACATAGGGTGAGCATTAAGACTGATTTGTTTTGAGTGGACTTGGTTTGAAACCTTACTTTTCTCTTCCCTACCCTCCAGGATGACCAGTGACCTGACAGGACGTAGGCTGGCTTCGAACTCTGCCTGGGTCCCAGGACAAGGGTGTGTTTGGAGAGCACGTTGGAATGGAGAAAACCAAGACAGGAAACAAGATGTTTTCCTACAAACCTTGTTATAAGGGTTTTGCTTCTGGCTGGTGGGTGGGTGGGGTGGTGGGGTATGGTGGAGTGCGGTGAGGGGTGGGGGTTTGCTGCCCAGCCACCTGCTCCAGGACAGTCGGGGAAGAAGAAAGGCTGGTAGAAGGGTGCAACAATTTGCCAATCTAAAACCCTGTTCTCTGCAGCTTATGTTTTTGAGCAGCCTGTGAATAAAGTCACCCTCCTACTTGTGTAAGCCCATGTTGGTGTGTAACTTGGTTCCTGGTTTTCAGTTCTGAGCATGAACTCCCAGTGGGAAATCTGTGGGGGCCTTCGCTGGAGATGTGTAAAGTCACCCCCTTTCCTTCCCTGGATAACTCTTCTGTTTGGTCGTCGCTGTTGCTGTGTCAACACTGCATCGGTACAGATGGAAGGACCTCGACTGCTGGGCTCACTGGTTCCACTGCCATTAATGCAGAGCAGGTAGAAGGGCACTCACTGTCTAGCCAAATTCCTGGCCGATGGAGAATCGGACAGATTGGGGAACTCAAGGAAGAGGACTTCTTGAGGAAAAAGACTCCAAAGAAGGTGTTCTTGCTCACTGATGCCCCCAGGGCTGCAGCTCGCCTGTGTTAATCTGATAGGGGACTGGTTTGTAGCAGAAGCTACCTGCTAGTCTGCTGTTGAGGTCCCAGTTGCCCCTTGTTCCATTTTTTGCCCCCTTCTCCTGGAACACTTGCCCAGAAATATTCATTCTGTGTCATTGTGTATGACAGCCTCTTGTGTGCCCCTCCCAGGTTGAGAGGTAAATCAGTTGAATTCTCCAAAGCTCTAATGGGGCCACTCAGCCATGCACTATTGCCTTTGCAGAACAATCAGGTCTGGTGTCTTTAATCTCTCAGTTCCCCTCCTGGTGGTCTCCCTTGCTTTTGCCTCTTCTCTGTTCTTTATGTTGGAAGTGAGAGCCTCTCCTTTGACTTTTGAACACTGGGTCATCTCAAGTTTTGAGCTGTGTTCTGCTCCCTACCAGTGCCTTGTAAAGGTATATTCATTATAGGCCCTGGAAGGTTATAATGGTCAAAGGTTAAGTGTGAGAGCGTGCACTTTGTCCAAAAGGATCCTTTACATGAGTCTCCTGCGGTGAGACAGGACACCGAATTCCTTTTGTTTTTTGGATGCCAGTAGCTTAAATCGTAAATTCCATCATTTGGTTCTAGGTTTCTCTAGGTGTTTTTGGAAGGTGCATTTGCGCCTTGTAAGTTGAAAGGGAATGGACTTAACATTTTTTTCTGTATGGTACTTCTGTCTTGCCTGTGTATACAAGTTGCTGGCCTGGGAAGTGGACCTTGATTCACTGTTGACTTTTGATGGATTAGCTGTGTGTGGTCTGTGCCTCAGATGTACCATTGTGGGGCACCGGGGGCTTGTTCTCCTGTGTGGAAAATTTGGGGAATTGCTAAATATTTCATAGTGCTTCATTGTCACCCAAATGAACTGCAGCATACCCATCTCCTTCACAAGCCCTGTAAGTCAGTACTGCCTACATGGGAAACCAACTAGTCCTGCATTAGAGGATTAGAAGTGATGACTAAAGGGATGTCTCAGAGCCTCGATGCAGTCTTCCTGCCAAGGTAAAGCACACGGTGCTATATACTTTTATCTCGGACTTAGGAGGATCATCATTTCTATTGCTGTGGGCATGAAAGCTGGTTGGCAATGTTTTTGATTTTGGGTGGCCGACTCGATTGTTTTTGCGTGGCCGACTTGATTGTTTTTGCTGTGCTGCTGGAATGCCTCTGTATTACCCCTATCATCAATTTCTGAAAATAAAGGGATGGATTCTCAGTCTATTTCCATGTGCTCCACATTTGTTTAGAGTTTTCAGAATGAGAACGATGATTCAGTGATTGGCTGACTTTGTAACCCCGCAACCCAAAACTCTGGAGACATTCTTGAGTATACATGTGTCTCTGCAAAATTACATCGCAGACATGACATGGGACCTCCTTAGAAGCTCTGCTGTCTTTGAGCATTAGCTTTCATTTTTCACTTTGGGAGCTCAGATTTACTGCTGCTACATAGCTATCGAAAACTACATAGATGCCTTTCTTTTTTTTCCAGAGCAGTACAGTAAGGAAGAAATGCTGAGAATGTACTGTGGGCTCGGGGCCGTGAACTCTGATGCTTCTGGGTAAACTTTGGGAGAAATTCTGTTTCACTACTTGCAGTCAGTCCTCTGATTTTGTACTAAGGTATTGTTGAACACAAATGCACAAGCCAAAAGCGAACCTCTAGAAAGGAAGGCTGTGCTCTGAGAATGCTAAACGAACTCACAACCTGTTAAAGCGTCGTCTCTGAGACGCCGTGACTGCATTTCCAGCATGCTCCTTCACTTTGGCTGGGTTATTTCATAGTTCAGCACACAGTTGGCTGTGTCTTCTCAGTGACAGTCTGTCTGTGGCTGAAAAATCACTTGGCTTTTCTCATGTGTACATGTTTCTGTATTAAGTTTGGGACCAATAGTAATCATTAACTGTTAGGACCTACATATTTTACACCACTCATTTTTATAAATAACGGCAAATGGCCACTGAAATATCCAGTGATTGAACCACCTTGGTGAGACAAAGGAGACAGTGGAACAGCTGATCAGTGGCCAGCAGCCCCTGTGATCCCTGTCAACGCTTACGTGTCCGTGATGTTTGCAAGTGGATTTGGACTAAGGAAGGTGGCTAAGTGTAGGTCTCCATTCTTTTGTTTGCATGCTGTCATAGGGAATGTCTGAGCACACACCTGTGAGTGTATGATGAGTTAAAGATATGTGCTACTATACTGATATACTAGGTATATCCTAAACCACAGAAGTTTTTTGGAAAGAAGATTTTCCTCCAGCAAATATCTTGCAAACCCCAGGGGTAAGTACTCTCCATTCAGAGAGTCTTAAGTTAGCGGTATCATTAAATGATGCTGGAGGTTATGATGTAGGATCATGTTTGAAATGCTACATTTTCTCAAGTGTGTCCCTTGTTGCCTTTAAAAAAATTTTTTTTAATTTAAATTTTGATTTTAGAGAGGAGGGAAGGGAGGGAGAGGGAGAGAAACATCAACTGCCTGCTTTCGGTAATCACTCCAACTGGGGACCGAACCTGCAACCCAGGCATGTGCCCTGACCAGGAACCAACTGGTGACCCTTCAGGTTGTGGAATGACAACCAATTGAGCCACATAGGCCGGGGCTCCTTTGTTGTTTTATTTCTGCCAGTTGTTGACTTGAAGTTGACCCAGTGTATTACAGGAACTCAGTGTATTATAGGAAAATAAAAAATAGAAAAGAAATCCCTTGGACCCTTGGTGGTAGGGCAGGAGAAGTAACATTGAGAGGCAGTAGCGTATGAAAAGCATGGACTTGGCATTACAGCTCTGGATGTGAGTGGCAATATATTTGCTATGTGACTTTGGAAAGTAAATTTCTCTGAACTTCAGTTTCCTCCCTCGTCAGTGGCTTGTTTTGAAAGTTAACTGAAATTACATTGATTACATGTAAGTAAAACAATGCCTGGTGCACAGCAGGAATGCAGTAAGTGATGGCTGTTAGAATAATTGAATGCCCATCATGTGCCGGTTGTTCTCCTGGGAGATACTGTGTTCAATCTCCATGGTAACCCAGGGAGGTAGGTGTTTAATTTGAGGAGCCTGAGAAATTCAGTGTTTTGGTTTGGATCATGCAGTGGTGTTTAAATTTGGGTGTGAGTCTGTAGCCTGTAGCCTTCTACCACATCATGCTGCCTGCCCCAGATGAGATTGCTCAGTCCAGAGTGGGTGCTTAACATCTATTTTTTTTTTTTTTAAATGAATGATGCAGGCAAGTGAAAGAGGATGCTTGTGAGTCCTTTGAGAGAGGAATAAGTCTTCGTGTTTTGGGGGAGAGTAAATCATTAGTGACCAGCATTTCTGCCACGGCCTCGCACCCATCCTCTGTCGAACCTCCCGTCCAGCTCAATTCATGGCTGCTGCTTCACCAGGCCAGTAGCTGTTTTCCTGGGCCAATTTGGTCACACTTGAGCCTTCAGTCATCCTCTCTAGCTTTTAAGAAGAGGGCTGTGGGCATGGTTCATGGTGAGTAGGGTTGTGCCCCTGCTGAATGATAGAGCTGGTTAAGCTCCAGCACCACGTGTCAGTCTAGGCCTCTGCCAGGGGGCTGGGTCAAAGGGACTGGCTGAGGGTGTGGAAGGTTGTTTCCCTCCACTTCTGTTTCTTTTCTTCCACTTCCTCCACTTAGTTCACCTGCTCTCTAATAACTTAAATTCCTTTAATGGTGATAACATGTTTCAATCTGTGACCATTACTGAAGCTTAGAGGAAGATGCTTTAAGGAACAAGGACCCACTGACTGAAGTCACTATGTAGTCATATAATCAGGTGTCTATAGTCCTATGAGAGATGCGAGAAAGAGTGAATGTGCGTTGTCTGCCCAGCAGAGGGACATGGAATTGACAACAGAGCTGGGACTAAAGTGATGAGACGAAGGTAAGTGAAAGAATAGACAGGACACTTTCTTCGTGTTCTCAGTTCTGTTGAGGGTTGCACCTGACCAGGTCTAGATTCTTGTAAGTTATATGACGGTTGACACCTGTTCTATGCCAGGGTCTGTCTATGCAGTGTGCTGTGCTGCCTGAATAGGATCCTGTTGCCTCTAAGCCACTATATAAGCCTGATGATCTTTTTAAAATGTGGACCCTGATATAGTAGGGCAGGGGTGGGGCCTGAGATTCTGCATTTCTAAGAAATTCCCAGATGATGGTACCAGTCCACAGACCACATGCAGTTTCTTGGTGAGGGATGACAGTTGGGTTTCAAACTGCCTACTGAGTCTGCTCAGTGATTAGTGCCTAGAGGGCTGTGCCCTGAGTGCCTGCTGGCCAGAATTTTACTTGAGAAGACACTTGACTCCTAGAGTCTTCTGTGATAGAGGTTTCCCAGAGCATGGATATTACCCCACCTCTTTGCAGAGGAGTGTCCTACATATTGCTAGTAGGGGTTCATATGTTCTCTTTGGAGCCTCCTTGTTTACTTTATCTACCTCTTGATGATTAACCCATCCATCATACCCAGGTCTCAAAAATCAGTTTGCATGTTCATGCTAAAATGTAAATGGCTGATACGTGACATTCCTCCTAGGAAGGCTGATGTCTTCACCAAAATAAAATTGTGGAACTTAAGGATCAAGGCTCATTTCAGCTGTGGGCTGGAGTTGGAAATGTTTTGGGATACCTCCCTGGTATCAGTGAAGTAATGAACGCAGTGGCCTGCCTTGCCTATGTGAGGTAGCATCTACTTTGCCGGGCTTCTCAATAGTGGACAAGGAGGAAGGAGGAGTAGTTATTTCAGCCCTGCCCAGCACTGTGGCTTGTAGCCATTGTTAGCACCCACCATCTATAGCTTTAGACTCATGCTTGGCATTCCCAGAATTCTGATCTCAAATGTAAGTTTGGTTGGTCTAAGCTCTGATAATGTCACCTGCAGTTTCTTTGTTCACATAGTCCTTGTTGACAATAAGCTCACAGAACTCAGGAAGCTCTGATATTTAAAGAATTGCTGGTTTTTCCTTTCCTTTCTCCCCACCTCTCCTCTTCTCTCCTTCCCTTTCTTTTCCTCTCCTCCTCTCCCCCACTCCTGCCATACATACCCCAATAGTCTACTTGTATGAGTTTGGTCTAGTTTGGTTTTCTAAACATGTATACCTGCCTTGCTACATATCCTCGTCTCTTTACATTGACCATAGACCAAGAGAACTTTTTTTTTCCACTGAAATGTGAAATTTTCCTCTTTGGTGAAATAATTCTCATTTTGAACATTTAGCACACAATTTGAATATTTATTCAGCTCCTAGGCTAGTATCGCTCAAAGCTGGGAGTTGTAGAAGCAGTCTAAAAGCCAGGTAAGAGCTTGCAAGGGTGGGAGGAAAACAAAGAGGTGGGTCAGTCTTATGGATGGTCACTTGTCTGCTGGAGCCTCTGAAAAGCAAAACGCCAAGTCAAAATTCTGAGTTTGCCCTCTAGCCTTCCACAGAGGTGACTGTTGAGGTGGAGGGCTGTAATGGGGGGAGCGTTGGACTGTGACTTGGGAAAGTCACCTAAAAGCTCTGAGTCTTGGTCTCCTTATCTGCACCAAAAGGTGAATGCAATTCCCCATCTCCCTCACATGGTGGGTGGTGGGTGGTGGGTGGTGGACGTGATAGCATGATGGTGAGGGAAGTGCTTTGTAGGTTGAAGGGTGCTTCCAAAGGCAGCTCTGCCTTGATCAGGAGAAAGTTGGGTGGTATCTTTTTAAGAGGCAAGAGGGGATTCAAATAAAAACCAATGCAACTTTTCTTAACTGGCTACTGAGCTCATTCTGAATGTAATCGTAGCATCAAATCCTTTTGTTTATGATGTAAAATTATACAGTAAAGGTGCTGTAACACTCAATAACTATACTCAGTGTTAGCTCCATTCTGTGGTTAAGGAATTGGGGTTTATGGGGTTCCAAAGCTAGGTATTGGGACATAGTACCCCATGTGAATACAAAAACTGTGCTCAACCCCCTCTGAGCCACTCACAGATACCAGCCCAGTCCACTCCTGACAATATTTGGGAATGAAGAATTAGAAGCCTTTTTTGAGAGGCAGGGTCAGGGAAGAACACTGCTGTGTTGCTCAGAATGTGGGCTCATTTGGCACTCTGAGGAAAGTCTAAATTGACTTGACTGAGGCAAGGACTTACCGTTGGCCTCTTCCCAAAACATGTCTTGAAGAAACTTCCCCAGGGCCTGGCCATGCCGGTGGTACTGAGCCCCTGACAGCTTGATTCCAACATCAAAGGGGGCGTTGAACTAGGAGGAGAACAGGGAGTACCCAGGAAGTGTCAGGTATAATCCCCCCACCCCTGCCCCAAATGCCCCCATTCCAAAGGAGGCCTGGGCTCTCTGGGTTCTCAGGGTCTCATCACAGGGGCAGGGTGGGAGGTGGGCCTGTGGGCCCAGCAGGTACCACTGGGGGACCGCTCAGCTACTGTCGTCTTAGGCCCGTCCTTACTGCCCCTGCCCCATCTTTATGAGACTTGTACTCTCTTTACCTCTAAGGAGGTTGCTGATAAAAGCTGTGCAGTCCCCTAGTTCACACCCTGCTCACTACCACTACCCCGCTGTCCCCTTCCCCCACCCCTTGCAGTTTTGGAAGATACAAGGTTGAATTTCAGGCCCTGGCAGGGAGATTGGGGGGGCAGTAGGCCCACCTGGTATACATAGCGTGAGCCTAGGTGATATCTTTGCCCCTTTCACTAGCCCCACCTCTCCCTTCCTAGGTGTTTTTCCTTTCATATTCACAGGCCTCTTGGTTCTGTGGAAGGTCAGACAGGAAGGTGCTGTTTTCTAGAAAGGTGCTCTGAGCTAAGTCCACCTTTCTCTGCCTCCATTTCTTCCACAGGAAGAGCGCCCTATTTTCTCTACTTGCTCGACATTCTGTGAGATGATCTATTTGTGCTAAAATCTTTGGGGAAATGGGATAGAGCTCTGTTAGCAGCCACATTATTGTTTTTTCCCTTGAGAGCAGAGGCTGTATCTTTATCTCTGTTCACCCAGTAGCTGCCTCAGTACCTGTCTGTGTTGGTTCCTGAGATGTCTGAACATCTCCATGAATCAATGGAGGAATCTTGGTGCTGGAACAAACCCTCAATAATTAGTTCTTCTACCTGCTACCCTCCAGACAGGAGGTGTTACCCCATTTTCAGATAAAGCAGCTGAGGCCCAGGGAGGTTAAATGACTTGTCTGAGGCCTCAGAGGAGTTGGTGGCCAAACACTGGACTGCAGGAATCTTAAGTCCACCAGCCCCAGAGCCTCTTTGGGTCCCAGCTGGAGCCCTGCCCTGTGTCAGGCTGGGGCTGAGTGTCTCCCTCTGTTGTGTCGAGTCCTTGGTATCTCTCACCAGGCAGGCACTAGTGTTATTCCTATTTTACAGATGAGCGAACATGCTCAGAGAAGTTAAAAAGCCCGACAAATAGCCATTTGTTTGTTCCTTTAAAACAATTTAATTTACTTTCTCCATTTATCTCCACTGTGGAAGTAGAGTGGGGAACGGCAAGACTGAGTTTTTAGGGAACTTGGGCCCTCCTGTTACCTTCCTTCAGTAAAGACTCATTTTTCTTTCACTCCTGTGGCTAATGTGGGGTGGTTGGGTTACCTGAACAGATTTCTTAGGAACCATTGAGCACCGATCCAGGGACCTGCTGGCAGGAACTGGGTGGCAGGGGCACTTAGAGGTGGCGTGGTGACTGCTGGTTGGAACAGCTTCAGGTGAGCTGACAGAGTTCCCTTTGCCTTGGTGTCATCTGTTTGGTGGGAGATGGGTGGGATGGGGGAGTGGGTAGAACTTGGTTTGAAAAGTCTCCTAGCCCTGAAACTCGATTTTAGGAGGAAAATGTTTGGGGGAAGTAGGGCGGAGGGAGCTGCGATGAGAGAGGTGGAACCCTAGGATTAGAGAGGCTTGGGGGGCGTGCCCAGGGCTCAGCCGCCAGGGTTGCAGGCCTCCTTCCCCACCCACCTCTGGCAGCCTCAGCACCTCCCAGGTGGTTAGACTTCTGGTTCTTCTGAGGCCAGCCTTCATGGAAACTGGAAACTTGCAGCTGTCCCTGCTCTTCCTTGAGTCACCAGCCACTGAAACCTCTTCCCCTTTTGGGCCAATTTAGAGTTAGTCTGGCTGGGGTGAGTACCAGCCTGTGGGGGCTAGCCATCTCACGAGGAAAGTTCCCTGGTTTTAGTTCAAGGATTTGTAGGCCAAGTGGGAAGGTGGTAGGTTGGGGACCTCACAGCTGTGTGCAGGAAGTACATGAGAACACTTTTAAGTTTTGGTGAGGGTCAGATAGCATGGGTTGGGGAGTTCATCCTGATGGGAGAAGAGGCTGGTGGGCAGTTAGAGAAAGGCCAAGGCAGGACCTATTTCAGCTTCTCTCAGGCCAGAAGAGATGAGCAAGGGCCACTGTCCACTCTGTTTGCCAGAGCAGTAAGGAGGGGGAGAGGGCTTAGGGACTGAAGTCAGCCCTGACTTTGAGTCCACTCTGCCACACTCTGGCTGTGGCACAACAGGCAAGAGAGTCCACTGTCTGAACTTCTGTTCCTCATCTGTACAATGAGGGCAACAAGATCAGCCCTCAGCAGTACAGTACCTGCCATAACTAAGGACCACTCCAGGGGAATTCTGGTTGCTCTGAATGGAGGTGACTACAAATCACGCACAGCCAGCCTTTCAGGAAGGTTACCTAGATAACCCTATAACTTCTCCTTACTATCTCCTAGTCCTCCTTTTATCTCTAAACAATTTCCTTGTCCCATGTGAGATTTGTCAGAGCCAAAACAAGCCTGACTGGCCTGTCCTCATCTGTGGATGGACCTCTGTGAGTGATGGCCCCCAGAGCCCAGCTAGCAGTAGCTCGCTGTCCAGGGGGCAGTCTTGGTGCACTTCAGACCCAGGTAATGTCTGAGAGGCCCCTGAGCCAACCAAAATGTTTTCTGTGGGGAAATACCTTCAATCTATGGCCAGCTGTGTCTTCCTGGGTGTCTCTCTCTGGGTAGCCTATTTGCTACACCCTTTGAAACTGTCCGGCGCCTTCTAGAGCCCCCTTCTGTCCTTTGCTCATGGTTCCTTGTACATTCCCACTCTGCTGTAGCAAAGCCACTTAGCCATTTGCTTCTTCATGGGCAAAGACCTCATACAGCCTAGTGCACAGTCAGCTATTTTCACGTTATTTTACATTTCCTGAGTGGCTGGTAAGTGAGCCTCCGTTCATGCCATCTCCCCCCAGCCCTCCCCTTCCCTCATCCACTCCCCTGCTACAAAAGCAAAAAACTAGAAAGGAACCAACCCTAATTTCCAGCTCATCCTCTGCTCCGTCTGCCTGAGTTCCATCTTCCGGGCGGAGCCAGCCCGCAAGCTCTCGGGGCTGCAGTTTGGCTGGTGGTTTCTTGGACTCCTTTCTCTGTTGGAGAGAGGAGGTGTTTTCCCAAGGGCCCTAAGCCCCCATATCCTTGCAGAAGCATAGAGAGAGGTATGGGCCTATAGTCGGACCCAGGGTCCTTTGTGCTATAGGAGACAGCTGAGGCCCAGAGAGGCTGAGCCACTGCCCAGGTCACCCAGCCGGCTGCTCTTTGGAAGGGCTGGAATGAGATACCCCAAACAGAATGTGGGGCTTTGTGGGGAGGCACCTCACCTGCACTTTCTGGTGTTCGGGGCTCAGGAAGCTGGAACCTGCCATGGCCAAGTCCACGCAGAGCATGCTGAGGAGCAGCAGGCTGCAGATGGTTCCTGGGGAAGGCATTGCTTCCGCTGGGTTGGGACAGATGGGCCTAGAGGAAAGAGGGTCTCCAGGCAGTATACTGTCCTTTTCCCTTCTCTCCCTTCCGTACTCCCCTCCCCTCTTTGTCCTGCCCTCCTCTCCCCTCCCCTCCCTGTGCCTCAGATCTCATAGTAGGAGCCTAGCAGAAAGGGTGAGGACTTTGACCTGGGATGGCAGCTCGGCCCGCCTCCCTGAGGTAGGCACAGGTAGAAGGATTTGAGTGCTCTCATCTAAGACTGTTGGTTGAGGGCAGAACACGGCAGCGGGTTTCCCCATGTCATTTGTCCCAGCCCTCAAGGAGCTCGTGCCAAGCTTCTGAACAGGGGTGATGAAGCTGAACCACAAGTTCCCCAGGAGATGTGGGGGGATTGGGGCAGCTCCAAAGCCCAGTTATGCCTGTGCAGCCTGGCTGCCACAGGTTGTGCAACCTCCCCTTTGTTCAGATGGACCTGTGAATGGCCAATAAGTTAAACACATAAGCAAACCCACAGACAAAGAGAGACTGTGCCTACCTGGAATTCCTGGTGGAGGTGGTGCCTGGTGGCTGTCTGGTCCTTATATAGGAAACACTGTGTTTGTTTTAAACCAGCAACCTCATATCAGGGCAGCCTAGCTTCCAGGGGCCGATTTACATTCCTTGGGTCCTCTGGGTAGAAATCAACAGTGGAGGTTAAATGCCCTGTGACAGATTGCTGGGATGGCTTGGGTTGGCCATCTGGTCCAGCTGTCCCCAAACAGGCCTGGCCCTGGTTTAGGTGGGAGAGAGGGGAGTGGCTGGGGCAGGGGGGTCCAGGCTGGCTTTGCTGCTTTGTGACCTTGCCTTACTCTCCTTTCCGAAACCCCCTTCCTCCCTGGATAGAATGAGGTTTTGAAGAGCTTTCTAGTCCCGACACCTGCTGTTTTGTGACCAGTGCTGCTCTGGCTCCCACAAACCTCTGGAGCACAAGGGGAGCCTGGCTCATGTAATTCTCCCACCTCCCCAGGGAGGGAAGTTGCCGTTTTCTAGATGAGGAAACTCTTGGGAAGGGCAGCAGCTTGAGATCCTAACCATCCTCCAAGGAGCAAGTGTAGGGATCGTCTTAATCAGTGGCTAAACTCCAGTCATTCCTTCTGGGTGACGCATGATGAGTCTGCTTGGCTTGATGTTCCTTAACATGCGGGCTTGCCTCCCCTCCCTGCAGCCAGGTTTTGAGAGGGAACAGATTGGACCTGGAGGCAGAAGAGCTGTGACCTACTACTGGCACAGGTAACTAACAACCATGAATTGATTGGCCTTAGAGCACAAATAATCCCCCTTGCATCAGGACTGCCTTTCAGAGTGGCTTTGAGGATTAAATGAGTTGATGCATGTGGAAATCTTTTATATCCTGTAAGGTATCATGCAGTTGACAAGTATTTTTGTATCAGACCCATAGGGCTTGCAAGCATGTGTCATGGTCACCCATTCTTGGATGGAGAGTTAATGAACATTGTGGGGGATTCCTTACCTGTCTGGAGTGTTTCATCCAATTGGCTGTCCAAGCAGTGACTCCTAAAAGCGGAGTTGTCCATACTGAAGTCCCGGAATTTCAGAGGAGGAACTCCCTTCAGGCTGGGGCTCCATGCAAGAGGCAGATGGTGGAGATGGAGCAGGGCTGTGAAGGGAGGGCATTGCTGCAAGCAGAGTGGCATGAGCAAAGTGAGCAAACAGGACATGGGTGTAGAATGTGAGGGGCAACAGTGAAAAGGCTGGGTGGCTTGGAGGATGGTGGCAATGGTGGGTGGGGGTCGTAAGGAGAGGCCTGGAAGGCAGATCATGGTCAGGTTATACATACACTGTCTTGAAAGCTGCTGGCACAGGGAGTGTGGGCTTATGTATAGGACAAAGGCTGCTGAAGGTTCTTGAACAGAGTGACAGAACATAGCGTAATGAGATTTGGAAAAACCTTAAAGATTTGGGGTGCTGAGACTTTTATTTCACTGAAAGAAAAACTAAATGCCAACAGGTCACAGCTTGAGCTCCTAACCATCCTCCAAGGAGCAGGTGTAGGGATCGTCTTAATCAGTGACTAAACTCCAGTCATTCCTTCTGGGTGACGCATGATGAGTCTGCTTGGCTTGATGTTCCTTAATGTGCGAGCTTGCCCCCCTGCCCCCCAGCCATGCACTTTCCCCAAAGCCATACAGCCGTCAGTGGCAATGCTGGGATTCGAACCCAGGTTCCTGACTCCTCCTCCAGGTCTCTCTGCTTCCTGCTCCCACAGTGAGCATGGTACCCATGAAAGTCAGTGTGCTCCAAGCAGGATGGGACAAGGCCAGGGGCACAGTTAGGAGGATGTTGGGGCAGTAGAATAGCTGACCGTCAAATGCCACCTGACTTGAAGATTGATTTTGGGGGACACTTGCCATGTGTACAGACTCTAGGGCCAGCGGAGGCTTTGGAGGGGCTGCACAGCCCCTCAGTAGAATGAGGGGGACCATGTACCCCCTGCTGAAAAACATCACTAACTGCAGTGGGGGCTGAGGAAAGCATGTCACCAGGAGCCCTTCACACTGTCAGCTTAGACCTCTTGGCTGCAGGGCCAGAAAGGCTGAAGGTGGATAAGGGTGGGCAGAAGTCTAAGCCCTCAGAGAAGAACCCCCACCAAAAGGAAGAAAAAATACCCAAAACCCCAACTATGGTGACCAGGCACCTATTGAGACATGAAGCCTCTGCTTACTGTTGACTCTGGAGGTCTCTGGAGGCAGGAGCTGCAGTGTTGATCTTAGATAACACTACCAGCAAGCCAACACCCACACTCGCTGGGTTATCTCCGGGAAACAGAGAGGTGGCCTGTGTGATGGAAAAACCACCCTGACCACATGCCACAGTGCACGCTGGTGCAGGAGGAAGGAAGATCTGACGGATGGCAAAACCATAGAGGGAGGAGGGAGGTGGCACCCCAATAGCACCTTGCTGCCCACTCAGTTGCGGGATGAGGATGGACCCGCGGTGGGAACTACATGCAAATCTGGACCAGGGGAGTTCTGAGGAAGACCACAGACTTGGGGAAAGTCGCAGCTTTCTCCGGCTCACCTTACTCCTCCTCTCTGAGTGTGGGCAATACTAAGGCCAGTTGGCACCTCCCTGTACTCGTATCCTCCTCAGAACTTACTAGGTGCTCAGTATGATGCTTCCTTTGGATTGCTTGCTGGTTGGTAACTTTCTTTTCTTTCTTTTTTTTTTTTTTTTAAAGATTTTATTTATTTTTTTTAGAGAGAGGGGAAGGGAGGGAGAAAGAGAGGGAGAGAAGCATCGATGTGCAAGAGAAACATCGGTTGCCTCTTGCATGCCCTCAACTGGGGGACCTGCTCCGCAACCCAGGCACGTGCCCTGACCAGGAATCAAACCTTTTAGGTTGCAGGCTAGTGCTCAACCCACTGAACCACAACAACCAGGGAAGGTCATTTTCTTCCCATGGCAGGGCTTTGGGGGCCTGCCTTATAAATGGATGAGAAGCTCTCATTTTCACTTCTTAATTGCTATATGTCACTGGTATCTGAGAACAAATTCTTTATTTTCCACGATAATTTGATTTGTACTGATAATTAGTTGGCATAACAAGCAGTTTTTTCATCAATGAGGTTAAACCTTGGTTTGAATGAAGCAGATTCTGGGGTTGTAGAAGGTGTTATTTTTTCAGATAGGGCTTTTTCTTGTGGTTTCTTTTTTTCTCCTAGTTCTGGCATTTGTAACTTCTAGATCAACATTGTTTAATAGAGATATCATGTTAGCCTCAAGTAAGAATCTCATGTAATTTTGTTTCTTATTTTTTTAAATGATTTTTATTTATTTAAGTATATTTTATTGATTATCCTATTACAGTTGTCTCTTTTTCTCCCCTTTATTTCCCTCCACCATGCACCTGCCTCCCACCACCATTTCCCCCCTTAGTTCATGCCCATGGGTCATACATATAAGTTCTTTGGCTTCTCCATTTCCTAATCTTGACATCCCCCTGTCTATTTTGTATCTACCATTTATGCTTCTTATTTTCTGTACCTTTTCCTCCCTTGTACCCCTTCCCCTCCTGGTTGATAACCCTCCATGTGATCTCCAGTTCTGTGATTCTGTTCCTGTTCTAGTTGTTTGCTTAGTTTGTTTTTAGGTTCAGTTTTTGTTAGTTGTGAGTTTGTTACCATTTTACTCTTTGTAGTTTTGATCTTCTTCTTTTTCTTAGATAAGTCCCTTTAACATTTCATATAATAAGGGCTTGGTGATGATGAACTCCTTTAACTTGACCTTATCTGGGAAGCACTTTATCTGCTCTTCCATTCTAAATGATAGTTTTGCTGGGTAGGGTAATCTTGGATGTAGATCCTTGCCTTTCATGACTTTGAATAGCTCTTGCCAGCCCCTTCTTGCCTGTAAGGTTTCTTTTGAGAAATCAGCTGATAGTCTTATGGGAACTCCTTTGTAGGTAACTGTCTCCTTTTCTCTTGCTGCTTTTAAGATTCTCTCCTACCTTTAATCTTGGGTAACATAATTATGATGTGCCTTGGTGTGTGCTTCCTTGGGTCCAACTTTTCTGGGACTCTCTGAGCTTCCTGGACTTCCTGAGTGTCTATTTCCTTGACCAGATTGGGGAAATTCTCCTTCATTATTTTTTCAAATAAGTTTTCAATTTCTTGCTCTTCCTCTTCTCCTCTGGCACCCCTATGGATAGGATGTTGGAACATTTAAAGTTGTTCCAGAGGTTCCTAAGCCTCTCTTCATGTTTTTGATTCTTGTTTCTTCATTCTGTTCTGGTTGAATGTTTATTTCTTCCTTCTGCTCCAAATCATTGATTTGAGTACCAGTTTCCTTCCTCTTACTGTTGGTTCCCTGTATATTTTTCTTTAATTCACTTTGCATAGCCTTCACTTTTTCCTCTATTTTGTGACCATCCTCAACCATTTCTGTGAGCATCCTGATTACCAGTGTTTTGAACTCTGCATTGATAAATTTGCTCTCTCTTCATCGC